GGGTACGTACAAGGGCCAAATAGTTAAAATGGAAGTATTAGTTGGTCAAATTTACTAGTATCTAGAGAGCAACTAACCTACAGATTATAAGACGAAATTTTTGTTGTGTATATATATGAGTTAATTTAATAATATATAGATCTATAGATATAAATTTTTTTTCAAAATGAATAAATTAACTATGTTAAAACTGAGATCTTAGATTTTCTTTTGCATTTTGTATTTTTTTGGCTTGTGTTTTTCATATCATCCATTGATGAGGAATGTAAAAGAAATCATTATTGAAATGGTATTTTATGTGTATATCAATCTCAAAATTACTCTCAATGTAAATATAAAATAATCTCAAATAAAAAATAATTACATATATGAGTAAATAGGTCTAAGTTGTGGTATAAATTATACAAATAAATTCCAGGGCTTGAATTACTATGATTTTGACATCTCATTCTTTTACCTTTTTTTCAATAATTTTCTGCTTAACATTTTTCTCTCCAACATACGGTTTGAACTAATTTTTTCCTAGACCTAGGTCTAGGAAACATGTATTCACTTAGTTTGCTTTGAGAAAACCAACAAGGAGTACAAAAATTTCGAATCATAGAGAATTAAATGAATTTTCGAAATAATTTTGTTGTAGCAATATATATTGAGGAGGCTTATTACGAGAGAAATATAGATCAATAAAAAAAATGAGCTATATCAGCAGGTCAATAAGATAATAATAGATTATAACGTTTCAAATTCGCATGCGAGGATTATTAGTAACGAGGGCTTCTATAACTTCATAACCGTAGGTGCTCAACGATGAAAAAGACTTTCCCCTTTGACTCATATTGTCGAGCACTTATCTATTGCGGAGATTGCTTACATCGATAAGGATAAGGGTTGGTCTTGTTAGTTCTGTACGGGGTTGTGATATAATCCTCCAATGCTAACCAAAGGCTAAGAGTAACCACAGCATGAGCTCAATAGAGACCTAGAGTCTCTCAGTAATCAACAACTAGTAGCTGAGCACTGCACATGCTTATGCACTTCCTCACGTAGTCCAACAATTTACTTCAAATCTGCACCCACCCAGACCAGACCTAACCATGAGCAGCGCCCCAATCCCGCCCATGCTATTCAAATTACGCCAATTCTTGGTTGGATATTGACAAACACTACCCTTAGCATTTACTTGTGCCCACCCATGGAAAAATAATGTAACCCGAAACCCACTCAAAACCAACGGGCATTGGTCGGTGCACCCAATGTTGGACTATACTTCCTCATATATGATCATACGAACATATGCATTTGCAGAGAGCTCTTTCGCTCTCTTGCCCTCAAAAGCTAAGCACAAACAAACTCGACACTGTCTCACATTTCAAGTATCATCGGTAGTTAACTCTCAGGTCTCCACAAATGAAGTCGTCTATTTTCACTTCATTTTTTTAACAATTAGTGAGCTAGTCTTAGCCTAAACCTCTTTGATATTTAGCTATTTGTTCCAGCTGCCGACTTTGTTTGTAAGGATCTAATTGTTAATTTTTATCTCTACTAGTTTTGGATAGGATATGTTCGCTCTACAGTTGACATATTCAACTTCTTCTTTACTTATTCTTGTCAATAAGATACGATTTTTACCACAATCTATGCCCCTAAAGCAACACTTTCACAAATTTAAGCAATAATGTTTCAAACAAAGCATATGTGAATAGATATAATTTGGTTAACTACCTAATCCAAACTTGGAAAATATCCATGAGCTATAAGCCGATATCAACCTTAGAAAATGAATTTTTGGTTTTTCGAATTGTGTAAATCTATTTAAAAAATGCTCCATTGTAGTAAATCCAAATTGATTAACAATTCCAAAAGCATTTTAAAGATATGAGAAATCTTTCTCTTCTACACCTATGCCTTCAAACTAAGAACAACCTTCAAACACAACACCAACTATCTTAATTATTGCAAAATCATCACTTTATAAAAACTTGCATACCAAATCCAAATGGAGCAATCTCAAATATACTTAATGAATCACACCCTTCCTTCATGTATCTGTTGCGGAGAAATAAGCAAAGATATAGGTTATTGAAGTATGTGCAAACGGATTTACATTACTTCTTGAATTGCATTAATTGTTTCACAAAGATGAGGTTGTGACTATACTTTTTGATCCATCTACTTATCTAAAAGGCATCTATGGGAGAGCAACTGCTCTAAACACAAGAGGTTTTTACTTCACTTTATATAGATTGACTCGGAAAATTATATATGATGTCAAACATTATAAGATATTTGTGATGGCTTGTGAAAATAGATGTTTCAATTGAAGGAAGTGTTGGTGTGAATTCTTAGTCCTTTACATATGGTCGTTACTAACTCCATTAAAAACAAAAATGTGTGGTGCGTCATAGCATAATATATTTAGCGAAAGGTGTATCATTTGTATGTATTTTACTCAAAAAATAAAATTTTCCTTCACCACCATGCCATTGGATGATATATAAGTTAGATTTTCCGAAATTATATATTCATAACATTGCTTTAGTATAGATATTATGTAATATGTATGAGAATACTCTCTAGGAACAATTTTGCGTAAAGTTGCATCCATGGGGCTAAGAGATTAAGGAATTCACTCCTTTGCCGTGATCCACGTGGCTCCTCCACTTTTGATGAATAACAAGGTCAACAACGTCTCCAGGGCGTAGTCCAAATGCTCAACTCCACAAAAGGAACCGACTGAACCGGGAAAGAAGCCGCTGGCTCACCTGCGCACGTGGATCCAACGGTGATAAGAGCTGTACACTTGGCATGGTGCCACAATGGGACACGTAGGCCGACGGACGAGGATTGGTGGAGCGAAACGAGCTGGATGTCACCAGGAATCTTGGACAGACCGACACTTGGCAATCATTGCCACACAGTGAAAAACAAAGCCAAAGCCAAAGCAAGCATTTCCTTATCGAGAAAATGTTCCCCCATTGCAAAATACAAAAACTCGGCGAGCAAAAAGGTCCCAAACCTCGTAGTCAGAAGAACAGGTGCTCTCAGCTTTGTTTGTCTGTCTGTCTGTGCCTCTCGCCGTCACCATGAGGGCCATCGGGCCGCGACATATTTTATCCGGCTCAAGATCTGCTGAGAAGGTGCAGACCCCATTAAAAAATATTCGGGGAGAAGCTGCTGCTTGTGGTAGATGCCAGTTTTAGAGTACAACAGTTGTGGAAGGTCTTCTTTTGTACTTGGTCCAAATGAGCATGGCCGGCAGATAGATGAGTAGCCCATGCTGTAACGGCAGAGTTATGATTTATTTCGATTCCTTTGTTCTGCCCTCGGTAGAAGAAACGCCCATTCACACCAACATTCGAGAGAAACAAACACCTCGAGAAAGTAATACAATAGTACATCCGGAATAAGAAAAACAATTGCAATTTCTTTCAAACATACAGCGAATACACTTTCTTGGGAACGAAGGACCCCGAGGAAATAAAATATTACATAATGGGGAAAAAAATGGAATGTTTACAAAATTTGTAACAGACGGAGAAAGGGAATGCATAATCATCATCATCACTTCTACTTTTAACTGTGACCATCATTTCCCTCCGAAGAAAGTGCTGAAATATGGTACCAGTTGAGAAGAGCAACATCGAGTGCCATTATTCGTGAAAGCAGAGCACCGTTTTATGCAACATGGCTTTGTAAGAACTGGTTGTAAAGAGAACCCCAAGTAGTGTAAAAAGTTGAGAGCTCCATGGGTACCAACCAACGGTCGGAACCTGCTGCCTTATCCATTCAGGAGGCTCCACCGGGTCAACTTTTCCCCGGACCCTGTCTTTATTGACTGACTCGTTAAGCGAGCAAAAATAACAAAGGAGAACTCGTTGCTGGTGAATTTTGATTCTGGGGCTAGGATGGTAAGCAAGAGGCCCTGCACAAGCTGCACCTTTTCACGAAGAAAATGTTATTCTATGTGGATACCGTATCACTTCAACTGCTCCAGACAGACATTGCATGCAGATCTGTAACTTTCTGATCCCAAGAAAACCTCTCCAACGTCACGAAAGTGCACAGCAATGATCATTTCGCGGGTCAGTTTGGCAAGGTAGGAGGCGGAAACAAGACTTTGCTTGGATTAATTCCTAATCTCTGAATCGGTGTCCACCTTGAGGGCTGGTATTGGTAAGCGGAGTCTCGTCTTCTGCGCATGATCGTGAAGGGACTGATGGTAATGAGTGTCTGGAGATTACTCGAAGTTTTAACCTACCAAGTCCTGTGGTACTGATGAAGTTAACGACCAAAAACGTCTGAAGTAAAACAACCACCGAGCAGTATTTTCTGCTCAACAGCTTTCCCTTCACAGTTCCACTCACTCGTGCGCACACTACCGTGGCCATATTATGATCCATGTGGACCTTCGATACCAATAACCGCTGCACGTGGTACCCACCTGGCGCAAGTAGATGCCTTGTAAAAATCACAACCATCATATCGCTTGATACTCGAGAGTGGCCTATATTGCCTGAATTCATTCGTTTCATAGCACCTTAGAAGAAACTTTGTGCTAGGCTGCAAAAGAACGGCGCCTGATACTTCTCATATAAAGTACTTGGGCAGGCAGGCAAAGATACCAACAAGGAACATTCCAAATCGTTACATCGTCATGATACAGAACCAAAATCAGATGGACTAAAGTTGATGAAACAAAGTGGTTCTCATGTGGACCCACTTGTAGATGCCTACAATTGCGTGTACACCTGACTCGGGGGAAAAAAACTTTCACTCTGGCTCGCTGCATGTCTCTAGGATAGTCTCCACTGTGCCGGATAAAAATAATGTGATGGAATTCCTCCTTCACGGAGTTTTAACTTGCTAAAGCTACTATTTCCACTCTAACACGACTACAGCTCGGCAGATAACGGAAATACTCAATTGCGAATACCAACAATGTAGAGTGATGTGAAAGGCACGACTTTAGCAGAAATATGTACAACGACATCCATATCAGTACTTGAAACAAAGTAATAATATTTGTTTAATGTTTTGAAAAGATGAGAAAAAGACAACTGAACGATCAAGTTTCCTATTTCCCTGTCCGCTGCACGTTTACGTAACACCTGGATGCAAGCTGGACAGTATGATCCAGACTGAGCATATCTACGAACTCATACCCGCAGGTTAGTTCCTACACTCCAGTGACATCCTTCTTGACTATCATGAGTCGACACCGTAACGAGCTGTCATGCAAAAATAAGTGCAGTTTTAAAATTATCAGTCTCAGGTGAAAAATAAATTATAATGCAGAACATGCACTTCTAACTCTTTCGAATTAGAGAAACTCTCGCCACCGTTGCATTGAAACACTTGATTTATCAGCCGTAACAACATCAAGTCCCCAAGAAGGCTCAGTTTAAATCAAAACCACCTACCGGCAACTTCTCCTAGAAGTAGCCAACTTCCGTACATCTTCTGCATAACAAGATACACATGCGCAGATTTAAAATCTGATTATAATTTAAGCATACAAACCTTAACAGAATACAAATCTTACTTCTAAAGATGTTAACAAGTAACGCTCCTCAGAATCCAGGCCCCTCATGACTAAACTCAAAGGTGGATAAAGTCCTCACCAAAAATCACAGGAAAACTGAGAAAAAGATATATTACATAAGGTCACTAAAGAAAGAGTCTTAAAAGCAATCAGCAAAGTATGAAACGTGGCTGTAACATCTGAATGAACGCGCATATTCTTACCATGTAAGCCTCATAACGATGATTAATTGTCCTTTTTTTCGATCTTGGCGAGGAATAGTGATCCGTGATTTACACAGGTGCAACCACAACTTGTGGTCAAGCAATATTCGAAGATGAGCAGAGCAGCGGATAGAACAGACATGACAAATACTTGGAGACATAAAAGAAGCTCTGTAACAAAAGCCGCAAATGTTCAATCCTACATGTCCAACGAGAACGTTGGGGTCAAACATACATCCTACACGTTGAGCACCTCTCACAAAGTCAGGTACTGAAGTACTCTTCGAGGTAAGCATCAAGATGGCCAGGGAGCTAGCTGCATATCTTTTGTACACTCTGTCTCTAGATGTAACGCCATTGCCCTCTGTAAGCCCATTCGTAATGTACGTGAACGCCACAATGTGTGGTCGAGGTTATAAGTACATCACAAAACTGTACAAAAGTGAAATCAAGTTCATCCTCGATCTATGTGCTCCCGAGTAAACGGAAGCAAAAATCTTGCAGCTGAAAGATGGTAGAAATAGCCTCTGGTAGATTTTTCGCCTGATCTAGCTAGGTGAATTGTTGGGTCGTAATGAAAGCATGCAGTTTTAGGAGGACCACTAACTTGGAACTAAAAAATGTCAAACGATAATTGAAAAGTTGAAAACTCTGCTCAGATGGAACTCATCTGATTGTTAGGGGTACTATTTTCGACCATCCTCGACTGGCCATCTGCTAAAAGAATAAAGCTGTGGATAAACAACTGACCGACCTTGTACACATTGATGCTCTCGTCTTTCTTGATTTTTTCTTGATCCAACAAGAGCAGTATCAAGGAGTGAGGACAGTATCCTGAAAACAATGTTGCAGTTTGAAAATGGACGGAAAAGAAGATTCTGAAAGTCGCTCAGTGTCCAGGTAGACTGCAGAAGAATGAAGTCGGAGGAGGCAGAAACTGATTAATCAGATGAAAAACTCCCGTTGAAGTATCTGCATTCAGGCAATTCCACATTTCTTAGAACAAGTTCGATATAAATATACATCACACAAGCCGCACAAGAAGATTTGAAGCAGTAAAGGTTTACTCGAAACGATGCGGAACATCGTGAAAATGTTTCCGAAATTTAGCCTGTGCTTTCTTTCCAGATATTAAAACATCGGAAAAAACATTCTCATTACATACCGCTTGCTAAGTTTCTCCACGGCATCACAGGCCAGCAACAAAGTGTTACTGGCCTTCTCGAGGACAGTATAAAGTTCAAGTCCACCTCGAGTCCGTACTATTACCCAGGCATTTTGCTTAGTTCTCACACAAAGTTCCAACTCTCTGTCCTCCATGGAAGAACTCCTTTCTGATCGCCCCGTTTCTAGATCAATCTCTTGTCTTATGCGGTTGAGTGCAGCCAACGACTCCTGCACCATGGTAAACAACGGTTGCACGGTCAAAAAGCAGCTTACGGCAACACTGGGCACTTTTACTTCTTCCTTTATAGTTGCAGTGACTTGTATTGCCTGAATTTCAGAAAGCTGTGGTCAGATTGTGATTATACAATATGATATGAATCAGAACATAAATTTTTATTACAATCCTGTCCATAACTATGTGCTTAGATTCTCACCAGTGAAAGTGTGGCCACTTTACTAGCTGGTGAGAATCTGGATACTTTGTTGTTGGAGTCGTTGTATAGGTATCTGTAGCCTGCTACATGCCAGGCGTTGCTCCCTGGCCATTCCTTCACCACCTTCTCTTCCAATTTCTGTATCTTATGTGCTGCCTGCCATCCAAGTATATACATGAGCATAGGCCACCAGTCATGTTGATGTTCAAGATAGTAGACAGGAGGAATCTCTAGTTTCTCTACACTTCTAGTAACAATATGACTACAGGAAATTGGCCATAGAAATTGGCGTCTTTCAACATAATGGTGAAGGAGATGAGACCAAAATAGATCTAAGAGAGATACCTGACCTCGATGACTACGTATATCATGACAACAAGTGAATATCTCACATTTTATAAACGCACTTCTCACCTTCTCAAGTAGTTGTCCTTGTAGGTTTGGTATGAGATCAGAGCCACCAGATTTTGGGACAAGCATCACAAGAGTAAGTGACCTGAACTGGTAAACACAGAGATTGAGCCGTTCCTCTGACTGCCGAAGCGTGACATTTGGAAGCATTTTGCTTCTTCCCGTTTCTGATCCCCACGCATCCGTGCATAAGAAATTATCGGCATCTCGCCACCAACCTTCGTGTACTAGTGGTCGAGGAACAGACGATCTTGTACCTTGATCATCAACTGAAGAGTCATGTGCGTCTGAAATATGAGGATTAGGCACCACATCAGACGACGGACTTGTAGTCAAGTTAGTGAACAGGTTGCGTAATCTTGATGGACCTAGAGCATTGTTGAGATTGCTGGCCAGCAGACCAGCAGGTCCAGCTGCAGGGTTCTCTCTTCGGGAAGAAGATCGGCTCCTTGGTGCCTGAGACAGTGAGGATGGCATCATACGCAGAGTGGCATACAGAAAAAGCGTTGTCGTATCTGCCTGTAATGGTACGAGAGCAACAATAAGAACGAGCTGTTGGATCATCCCTTCATGTTTGCATGTTCTCAACACAACACAGGCAGTAACAATTCCTTTCACTAGAAGTACAACTAGCAAAACTTGAAACTAATCTTCAAGCATGAGTCAAATTAGCATATAATGGGGCTGGGGATAATATTGCTGAAGCTAGGAAAATGAAAGCATCTTCGAGTCTGATCATCAATGTGGAACAACACACATAATTCAGAAAAAGTAGTACCGGGGAAAGGGTGCTCGATAACAAGATATTATGAAACAGAATCATGACATGTCGAACCATTCCCCCGCCAGACCATGATTTCAAAAGCTCTTGAAGTGACTGCATCCACAATGATCCGATACAAATTGAGGATCAGTCAGAATTAAATTCGAAAAGTGTCGCAATTTGATGTCCTAGTGTTGTCTGAAGCAAGTCACCTGAGCCTCCAACAGTGTTTCTCGTTGAGGAGAAAAGAGCTGAACAGTTCCTCGGTGGGTCAATGATTCAGAAATAGATGGGATGCGGAACTTTTTCCCGGTCATAAAATCTGCAAATTGCACAATAAGCATAGACGGAAATAATCAAAACAAGGTAAAAATTTATAGCGGTGAGCAAACCATCCGTTTCAAGCGAAAGAAGACTGGAAAAGATGTCAAACTTGACTCAGAGCATAATTAAGAACACACCAGAAAAGACTGGAAAAGATGTCAAACTTGACTCAGAGCATAATTAAGAACACACCAGAAAGGTAGTCCGGAAAGAAGGCATGGAGACAGCTCCGTGCAACATCACCCCTAGGATGGGACTGAAGGAGAGCTCTTAAGGATCCATAGAACAAGACGAACAGGTTGTGTGCATCCTTCAAAACTGCACGTAGTGCACCTTCACGAAGTGCCTCCTCAGTCTCTTTACTCTTCTCCACCACCTACCACAGGAACATGTTGCCCATGTTATGCCAATTCATACTGAAGAGCACAATATGCTATCCACTATTGTTATATGAAGGTTTTCCTTAAACCGTCATTCACCATGACATACGAGCAAGAACATCACCCTCTCTTGACACCAAATGGAACTTCTATTCATTACTGCTTGCCTGTCGTAGTGCTGACTGTGAGAAAGAATAAGCAACATATGATGAGTATGTGTACAATTTGAAAGCAGAGACGCCTCTTCAGTGGGAGGGTTTCTCCCATTATCCAGATTCGTTCAATCTTGCAAACGTCGACTAAGAAAGTCTTGACTGGCTCATCCAGTTGTAGAATAACTTGGACCCAAAGATTTGGCTCAAAAGCACAACAGCTCTGATTTTTTAGTTAAGGTTATGAAACCGAGCATGTTTCATGTGTTCTGAGCAGAAGTGTCATGCAATCTCTCTCTCAATGTGTCAAAATGCTCTATACAATGACCTTATGGAACACTGGTTTGGTCTAGAATGTCACTCAACGTGCAAGCAGCAGGGTGGTTCTCCATCTTGCTCTCCTTAACTCCTTTACTCCTTTGCCATTCATTTGGCGTTCAGCAATTTCACTTCCAATCTTTTATTAATCTTCTAGGGGGATGAATCTCATACGCTACTTGAATCTCAGCCTATAGATTGGTATGGAACTCCCTTAACATAGTGCGTAAAAATCACGCGTTCATGGTATACCTGTACAGAAATCAAATTACTAATTCGCTTCCTTCCTACTATGTCTCTTTGAACTACCAGAGAGCTGAATCAGGTAAGATGGAAATCAGATCCTTCAAGAATTCAAAGTTTATAATACTCAATGCAGCTTTCGAAACGGACTAAATTGTGCGCAGCCACATTTCTTCCAGAACGTCAAACTTTACCCCTGACAAATTTTGGCACAACATAAAACTTTTGCAAAGAGAATGAAAAAAATTATAGCTATCAGAAAGACAAGGTTACGTTCTGACTGAGATGATCGGATAACTGAGATTCAGAAGAATGCAAACTGGATTTAGACTATTCATATCCATAGTTGTTTATGGAAACATAAACTTCAAATACATGTCCATACCATGACTATCCACAGATCTGGCTCGCATTGATGGAAAACATGAGTGTGCCGCTCTGCTTCCATTAACTCACATGGCGAAAGTGGCGAGAAGATCCTGAAATCCGCCCGAACCCACTGGTATTAAGAATTCACTTGTGCAGAAATCCATGTAGCATAGTTATAACTTGGGCATGTGACATTTCCAACCTGCAGCGACTGGATCACTCAAGACTAGAACAGTGAAAGTTTTCATCATCCATTTCTAATCAAAATCCTGACGTTTGTGATGGATTGAAAGTTCAGTCAGTGCTACTAGGGCAAGGAAACTGATGGAAAATGGTGACAAGTAAAGAAGTGAGAAGTACCTGGTGAAAGTGATGAGGCCTTCACTGAGACCAACAACTGACAGCTGTGAAGGGAGTGGACAGTTGGCAGGAGAAAAGAACAAAATTTTGTCAAGCTCCTGACCTTCAATCTGTCCTCTGCTCATGTCAAAGACACACACCTGCACCTTGTCCGCCATGTTGTAGAACGTTGGCGTATTCGCTTGCAATCTGACCAACACAACGTGCCTCTCCTCTTCCTCCTAATGAGTTTCTTAAAGAATACCTCTTCAGAAGTGATCTAGTCTCATAACCATGAGGAATGGCTACTAAGCTGGCCTATCTATTAACCCTAAACCCTCCTCCTCACCTTCCTGTCCATCTGTCCTTCAACAAGTTGCAATATCTCTTTCGCTCGTACTCCATGTTTTCCAAAAATGTGTTGAGATTGGTCTCTTGTTGCATTATCTGCAGATCAATTCTCCCATACAATGTGAGAAAAATCGGTACTTACAACCGAGTACCCAACTTGTGCTATATTGTGGACAAGGAACAAAAGTGTTGTTTATGGTATGGCTCATATTTGCATCGAAAATCCCTACAAGTTGACCCTACAGATTCTCTAAATGATAATGGAACGAAGTGAATGCACATGAAAAATCTGATGAGAGATTTCTGAACAAAACTCTAGTTTATCAAGGGCTATTAACAATCCAGTTTCCTGCAGTGTTGCAATCATACATGAAGATCCTAAATAATTTTCATCATAGTGAAAATCATATTCCATTCTTTCAAAATGTGGACTGAGCCTAAGTCGAGGTAACTTCTTGCAGTCTAGCGTCACTGAAGCTGACATCTGAGAAGATCTGTTGACTAATGATATTCAGATTAAACATTTTCCCCCAAGCTCAAAATATCCACTTCAATTTTGAGTATACAAAAAACAGTTGTCTCCAGTTGCAACTGGAGACAACTTTCACAACACAAACTCCCCCACGTAAGATAGTATACTCAGATAAAAAAGCTGGTAATAACAAATGATTTTATGTCAACACTGGTCGATAAAACTGAGAGTGAACAAATTCAGAAAGGTGAAGTACTGAGGACCATTTCAAGATAAATAAATGAAAATTATCTACTGTTAGAGCAGAAATGCCAAAATGCCGTAAATTAAAACACAGTATGCAAGATTAGATTGTACCCTCAGATAACCTCATTCAATGTCAAGTACTTTCAATTTACTTCGTTGAAATGGATCTATGGAACCAATATATTCGCCCGAAGAAATTGATCTTCAGCACAAGCTACACTATGAGTTCCATTCTGACCGGAATAAAGGAAAAGTAAAAATGGTCACTTATCAAAATTCTCCGCATTGAAGATCGTGCTCGAGCTCAGAAATTGACCAAAATTTAATGCACGATCAAGATGTAAGGCAGACTCGGTCAGTGCGAAAATTTCGCAGGTAGGCAGGCACTTACAAGACACTGAATTCAGCTGCCAAAACCCTAGGTCACCTAATCGAGCTGTAAGATCAAACGATGTAGGTCACTAAAGTTATAGAAAATGACCTGAAATGACTCGCTTGACAGTCAAATCTCCACAATAAGCCTGCAATTCATGATATCCCAGTAGCTCGATCAGCAGAATTCTTGGTCCATTCTGCACACCGGTCCAGTCGCAGTCTTCATTGCATCTTCCTCCCATCCATAAATGACAAATTGCAGAAAATGGAACAACTTTTGATGAGATCCATCACGGACAAGAAAGAGTGTAGCATTCCTGCCGATCGGTGTCCACGCCAATCAAATCTTTTTTGACTGTCTGCACGCAGAGAAAGCTGAACACTGTCAACCTCCGGTAGTGTATGATGCAGGCACCGTATAATATACAGTAGTACACTGTGTGATGTATTGAACCAACTTGTCACCTGTGGAAATTAAGAAACTCAGTAGTTCAAGTCGGTGCGAGAGAAATTTAATAGAGCCTCGGGCTCCTGGTCGGTGTCTTGGATTTGACAGCGCAAAAGTCAAAGGGTTGTGTCCCTTTTGCTGCCATCTTTCCTTCCATCTTATGCACGAATCTGACTTTTCAAAAAATGACGGAAAGAGAATACTTATTACGATATAAACTCCAAATTTTCTACAATTCCAATTTACATGTTAGGACACAGCTTTCTGAAAGCTGGATTACTTGTTTAGCCTCAAGTTTGAACGTATGGATGTCAGAAAATAGCTGTTTTGGTGTTTGAAGACTAAATGATATAGGACATACGTCTAGGATACGATACGATACTCTAACCTCAACTCTTCGAATCTACTTGTCAAAAAATAAATTCCATGAACAAGTCTAAGTTATAGGCTTCGGAAATCAGATGGTGAATCCACTCATCCTCCATTCTTTACGGTTTAATCCTTCGGTTAGAATCGTAGTTGTGCCCCATGTCAATTCATTGTTTCAGTTAAGGCCTCTAGAATGGGGTTCAAAGTATTACCGTGATTAAATTTGTGGATTCTGTTCATTGAGTTAGAACCAGGTCTCACATCCATTATTTGCCGTAAGTGAGATCAATACTGATGTTAACTGGACAAAACATCTGAATAATGAGAGGTTTAATGTAATGAAATATCAATTTGTGTGCGTGTAATACCTCTGACTCAGTCCTGACGATGATTTATTTGCTAGCTCTTACGGAATTCAATAATAGTTTGAATATTTATGTTCTTATGTCCAAGCCCCTTGGATCAAACATATTTAGAAAGAATTTAGACATCAACTTATGTCCTTAAGGAGTTAAATTCTTAGTATCCAATTACAGGCTTCAAAAGATATGCTTCAAATTTGCACATGAAAGAAATGATCAACGAGTTTTATAGCAAAATGGATAAGAGTGATGTAGGACTCGAACCTAACATAAACATGCTATTTCCAAAAGCATCAAATCCATACATTATTATTAGTGCATATAAACTAACTAGATTTGGTTTACAAACAACATGAGCATTTGACGAAGTAATATTGACATGATTGCTATTTTACACATGACATACGCTATTGTTATGTTAGAGTAATGCAAACACTTTGCTGGAAATATTATAGGTGTTATACAATGTAACTGTTCAAATTATTTTACTTTATTCATCAACTATATAATTTTAAATAATAAAATATGACTTAATTACATAAAGAGTGTTGTTCGTTGGACAAAACTAACATGAAAGTATGCAATTGATATGTAGGAAATAATTTTAAAATAAAAATTTGCATTGATGAAGATATTAACCTAACAAATTTTCGTTTCAATGTTTGAAGCATCATTATAATACTTTACCCTGAAAAGCGCACTCAAGGGTATCGTGTTAACGTAAAATCTGTACCGAGCTATCTGACTAGGATTCAACTTTAATATACATAATACGTCATCATCTACATATTCAAACAATCAATCAAAGTATATAGAAACGTTATGGTTAAAATCTAGAGAATATATATATATATAAGACCCAACTTAGCTTACACCTTTTTTTTTTATTACATAAACCCTGCAACAAATGTCACGGATTAAAGCAATTATTATTCATATTAGTAGAGTTTAGCGCTATTCATATGATTTTAAGAAGGTGCAAGTTACTGTATTTTGTATATTATATTTATATTAATGTATTATATATTGTATAGATATTGACTCTATTATGTATCATTGATTTCCATTCGCATCATATACATCACATCATCTCATCAACTATACAAATTTTGAACATTAATCTCTTAAATAATCACAAATTTTACATCACTTGTTTCATTGTATGACGGGCAGAGGATATTTTTTCAAGAATTTACTAAAAATATGCTGATTCAAAACGTATAGCACAAAGATAGATAATTAAAGTAAAACTCTATTATGTCTTACAATTAGCTTGAATTGAGATAGGCGTAAATCGATTTGGAGTATCATAATATTGTTATGAAGTATGTGAATAAAGTACAGCCATCCATAGAGTGAATTAGTGATTACCCATACTCAAGGCATGGTTATAATAGTCACTCGCCTAAATACCCTAAATAAGGTTAATTTAGTCTCCTAAAAAACTTCAGTCTACTCAAAAACATTAATTAGGTTCATTTAGTCTCCTTAAGAAGTTAATTTAGATTAATTTAGTCTACTGAAAAGTCAATTTAGGTGAATTTAACTTCTAAAAAAATTATTTAGGCTAATTTAGTCTCCTAAAAAAATTTAGAAAAATAATAATTATTATTATTTGAAAAATTACATTAATTTAGAAAAAATAAATTAGAAAATTTGTCAATTTTGCATAGGTGTACACCCACCATTGGTTGCAACATGTTTGCATTAATTTACACCTAGCTTAATTTAGGCGCCTAACCACCAGAGAATTTAGATAATTTAGGCGATCGTATATATGGTCTTCTAATACAACCATGTCCGCCCATACTACTTAATATAAAACAAGTATGAATATTGCAAAAAAATCTCATAATATATGATTATGTAGATGTATCACATTTTTGGATTATTTTAGCTTTTGATTTTCATAGATTGATGATAAGTCGTGGAGAATTTCATACTATGTGAAAAAAAATTTGAGCTATGCTATAATGATGTGTAATACACATAATTATTGCATTATGCAATACATAATAAAAGAAAATGTATATAGGATTTTATGACCTACCTAGTTATGTGAAAAAATTGCTTATGATACCTCATCGTTACACAAATTGCTTATTAGGCTCCATCAAGTTTAATTTACTCCGATGGGACTCCATCGACGAACACATCACTCATGTTTTTCTATCTAACCAAAAATGACGGATGATTGAGCAATAGCGTGCAGGTGTAGAGTATAACCTAGCTGGGGCAAAGGATGGACAGAGCCCACTGATCCAAGCAACTTTTTGTCAATGAGATCTTATGAAAGTTAAAGAGAACCTTCAAGTGCTCACTCACGAATTAGATTTTTGTAGAGTCCATTGAGAATAAACGGATCAAGCAAGAATACTTTTTATGCACTTTTTACTGATCTTACAAATTTTCACAACTTCTGCGGCCAAGTAGATTTGCAATTACGGAGCATTGAGCTTGGATTCACATCGCAAGTGGCAAAAGTGCTCACTCTTTCAAATGTGAACAACATTGTAATCTGCAAGAACTCAGTCGCAACTGGTCTCATCGTCACCATCACGAGGTTGCTGACAGATCCCGTATCTGTCTTACTATACTTCGTTTTAATAACTCTTGTAGGAGCTCTTCTCTCTATCCTTGTGAGTAATACTTATGAAGGTAGTGTACTCTAGAATATACTCACACAAGCTTTCTGAACCCCAACGCTCACCCCGAATCGAGTAGAGATCGTCAATATTTGCAGGTTAGGATTTGCATATGGTCACTTCTTCACACTATAGCCTGCATCATATATTTACAGGTAACCGTCTTTAGAACATAATGATGGTGTTTCGTCGATGTGGTTTTATCGGGTAAAACGATACCTAATGGGTTCAACAAGAAATTTGTTTTACAACGAGGTCTCATCAAGTAGTTTCCTCATTTTATTTGGAATAATTGGTATACATAGTATAGCTGTCTTGCAAATAAACATTCAATATCTGAATATAACAAGCATATTTCCAATTTATGAAAACTTGTCAATTTCATGTTAAATCATTTTTTCATACTTCTTATTTTATTGAATGATGCATACTCCCTCTATTAAATATATGTAGCATGATTTATTCATTTTCAATACATCATTTTTTGAAATTTAAACATGGAACTAAATTTTTTTTTATAAAAAATTTATATGTGTAAAATAACTCTTATTGTAATATTTTCACACGTTTTTGTCAATCATAAGATTTGTGATTTTTTAATGTCTTTATTTATACATTACATTTTGATTAATCTTGTCTTCGTGTAAAAATTTGAAAATTTTGAAATTTTTATAGTTATTTTCAAGGTTTGGGAAATAAATTCACTGAAATATCCTAATATTTTGTTTTAAATTGTTAAAATTATGTATCAAAGTTGAAACATACGTATTACTTTTGAATTCTTTTCGAAATTTAAAAATTTTTGAATCTGAAATCAACACTTATGGTAATGAAGATAATAAATGTGTACATGAATAACATATACAAAAATGAAATCGAAGAGAGCAAAAAACTAATGCACATAATCATTAAACATTGGAAAAAAAAATGAGTACAGTACTATTAATCTAGGTGTAAGTAAGATCATGTTGAAAAATATACTATAAGTAAGCTTAGATTTAGAATGATTATCATTATTTAATGAAATTTACACAAGATAAAATGAAAGTGAAATAAAAAAAAGGATAAAAACAGAAAATATATACGGTATAAATTCTAAAACTGCATGACTCTTTAAAAAAATATAGTTTTTCATATTAATAGTTAAACTTTTGCTTGCAACCTTCAAAATTTTGTATCATTATTTCATATGTGTAAAGGTAATTTAAAGTTTCATACAAATATATAAAAGATTTCATTGTATATTTCAAATTTGAAAATAATAATTGTATAAAAAATAACTTAGATGTGTCAACCAATGTAGAATAACGCATATGGTAGATTGCAACATTTCTTATTGGCCTTTTATTATTAAAATTAAGATATCAAAAAATTCCATTCTATCTAGTATATCATAAAGTATCTTTTTTTCATTGATTCAAATGATATAATAATATGGGTATAAAATAATGTGCTTTTCACCAACATTTATCAACAACATGAACTTCAATAAAACTTTAAATTCATACAACCTTAAGTAAAATCTTGATAATAGAATGATGTGATATTTGCAGTGATCTAAGTATCAAATCAAAAATCTTGAATAATATGCGTACATTGACCTATTACATCAATATTTCATAATTTTGGTTATGTTAATATGATATTTTCAAAGTAGATTGTAACTTACTATTATGATAGCGGCTAGTTATCACTCACGTAGAGCTAATTAGCCCTCACTTTATCTTATTGGTCCATGCAAGGTTACAGGTTTCACGGATGAGTAGCAACTCATTCTTGAATAGGGAGTTTGATCACTTAAAAACGAGTGTATAGTAGGCGAGGGTTAATTAGCCCTAAGTGAGTGATAATAAGCACATCCCTATATTATTCACACATTTTAAATCATATATTGAACTTGCAGCTTTGATGTAGTGATGTGATATACATTTGAATAGTTGTTCTGAAATTTTGTAGCTCTACAAAATGCGAGAGGCCTAGATAAGGAAATGATTTTAAGTGGAATATAAGATTACCTCTTTGGTGATATATTTATTCAAATTCTATACAAGACATAGATACATGTCTTATTATGTGGAATGATACTAAGATTTGTAAATATAAGATCTTCAAACAAAATTAAATCATGCTCATTTAAACATCATAATACTAGCACAAATGAAATCGGAGCAGATGGAATCTAAAAGACTAAGCTGAGCTTCCAACAATTTTTTTTGGAATTGAGCCGAATCGTAACTGAAATTTACGATGTATATTGTGCTATGTTTTGAAAAACCCGAGTTTATAATCTAGTTCATTCCAACAATTCATGTTTTTAAACTTTATCTAATCCGAAATGTCAGAAACACAAATGTTGAATTATCATAAGATTAAAACAAAAATTTTGTAATATGATGTTATACAATTACGCATGATAATTTATGTCCATCTGTATGTTTTGATTTGGTTCATCATTTGATCAAAATATGTTATAATTTAGATTGTAAAGATCATCAATAATGTTGGGTTATATTCTTTTGATCTCATTATATAAAGCATGAGTACATACATTGTTTTTCACGTGATTTCATGGGACCAAAGGCATGCATTTCTAATCCTCTTATATATTCTGAACATGAAGCATTTATGGAAATTTATAACGTACCATTAAAGGTACGCAGGGAGAGAGAAAATTGGTCAAGAAGAATAAATCGATATGGCTGTATGCAAGTCTGAAAAACATCGGAATTGCTCCAGCCCTTGCCTCTACACACCTAAAGGTAAGTTCGAACAAACGAGGTTATAGATTCGATTTAATGAAACGTAAAATTGCACTGAGAGATAAAGCGAATATCCTAAAATCCGAATGCACACTCCAGCATTATCCCAGGTAAATAATAAATAGATCAAGCCCGTATGACCCAAAGTGTCCAAAGGTTCACGTAAACAGTATAATTAAAAAATTACGAACAAAGTGTAAGACCCTAAAGACACAAAGATAAAAATTCTCCACATAATATAGATGTATAAATTGCAAGCCTCGGGAGGATAGAGAAAGGCACTGAGTACAACGTAGACAGAAAAGAGCTCAACACCGCAACGTGCCACGTCGGCAGTCCAAGAAAGGGGCATGAAACGAAATGTCGTCTGTCGGACGTGTCGGACGCGCAGCATATCCAAGTTTGTGGACAGTCCCGGTCGCCGGCGACTACAACAACGTTGTCGCCTTCGGAGCCCGTGACCCGTCGTGCCAGTCGCCGAAAAGGTAGACGGACGACGACGTAGGCCCGAAACCAGGCGCACAGTAGCTGCCAGCAGCAGCAGGAGGACAAAATGCTGCGTCGGACAAAAAGGCACGGAGAGCTTTATATCCATCGGGTGCCGCGGGGAACGTTGGCGCGAGGGAGAGCCAGGGCCAGGGTGAGGGCGAGGGATGAAGCAAATGGAGTGTCGGGCCCTCGACCGCCAGCTGATCGAGTGAAAGAGAAAGCGTGGGCGATGGATGTGTGGCTCGCGGCGCTCGGAGCCGCGCAATTCTGACAAGGATTCAGGATATGCTTGAGGAGGCGATATGCCGCGCTCGACAAGAACACCTCCGCCTCGGCAAATCAGCTGCTGCTGCTGCTGCTGCGGAGCGATTTACCGAGGGCGAGGGCGAGGCCGCAGGCAGCAGTAGATTCGTGGCAGTCGTTTTGGGGTTTTGGGCGTATTCTTCACCTTTCGAACGACGCCCGCCATTCGCGGGCGGGCTTTCCCTCTGCACGTCGTCGCCATGTAGAAGTCGTCGCGGTAATTGGCGGTGTTGCTCACAGATATCACCCCTCCTCCTGCATCATCGTCCTATTATGGCTCAGGTGTGAGGGATTGTCCTCATCCGGAGCTTAAAGTTCTAGTTCGAATTTGATGCCATTCATTGTGCGGCAGTGGAGCTTCGGATCGATGGCCGCTTGATTGCATTCCCGGGCGCCTTTCGGCCCTCGCCTCTGTCGTAGTTCGGGTTTCGTGTGCGATTTTTTTGACGTGCTCAATTCGATTCGGGCCTCGATCGATCTCGGATGTAGTCTCTCTTCTATTGAGGTGTGTGGTCGGAAGAGTCTCTGGGGATCGAAGGAGAGCGACTCGGCGAGTGTGGACATGGACGTGCGCGGGACTGGATGTGATGGAGCACGCTTTCATGCCTGTTGATGGTGGTGGGCTTGGAGGCCTGAGCCGACGCTCGAGATGGGGAGCTTTTGCACCGACGTCGGAATTTCTAGCATGTCTACCTTCAACGGAAGGCTCGAGTCTTGCCTCTTACCTTGCGAGAGGGGTTTATCACGATGCAGCCGCATATTTTATGGAGTGCCTCTCCGACCGAAAAGTTGGAGAATGATGAATCGAGGCTCGGGGTATATGTCCATTTCTTCGGGTCATTCCACCTTTCGGGTTGACTCTCCAGTGTCTAGAAACAGATATCGCGGTCTTCAAAATGTGAAAAAGCGCAGGCCTTTTAGTCAGCTTTCGAATTCGCACTCGGATGTCCAGTTTGGAGTCCGGATCGGAAGGGAGCACAGAGGCAGCTCGCACAGAGTCGCTGGGAGAGCATCAAACTCCCACGGAGTCCCTGAGCCGTCTGACTCGGAGAGTATCGATGATGGAGATGTTAAAATCGGTGCAGAAGAAAGTAGCAACTTTGTAAATAATTCGGAACAGAAAGCTACAATCTCAAAAGATTCCGCGTCTCCAGGTCCTCGTCTCACTAGAAGAATGATTTTAGGTGCAGTTGCCTTAGGTTTCTCAGTCTCCTCGTCCTGGTCTTCGGAGGGGGCCACAGCTGCCGACAAGGGATTTAGTTTCCCTTTGACTAAGGGCTCGTGGATTTTGGGAGAGGCGGATTTGGTTCCTCCTGGGGCTGCCGAGAAGAGGGGATCTCGGGTTTATGATGCAAGTGTACTCGGAGAACCGGTTGCACTCGGAAGCGATAAGGACCGAGTTTGGCAGAAGCTCCTGGCAGCTCGAGTCGTCTACTTGGGCGAGGCTGAAAGGGTGGTTGATACTGACGATCAGGTGTGTACATGTGTATTGATCATCTGAAAATCTAATGTGATTGTTATTACTGGGTGACTTTTTATCGAATGGGTCGAACTGAGTGCCACCAAGTCAAAGCCATTGCAGCAAGAGAATTGCTGATCTTCTTCCTGACTTATCGTCAACCGGCACTCAGTTTTGTTAAGTTCGAACACGGGAAGGAAGAAATGTTTTTTATCTAATGCCGTCAACTCAAAGCCACGGCAGTATCTATTTCAAAGGAAGTGATCGCTGAGTCGTGCGTGATGCACGGTTGATACACGATTGAACCTTAACCATGCCGAAATTCAATATTGCTTCTGCAGTCAATTAAACATGTCTCTTTTTCAATTCTGAAATGGTGCTTAGTTTTGGGAAGGGGTTGGCAGTTGCTGGAGCTAGAAATTGTCCGAACCGCGAGAGACAAGTGCTTCGAGCAGGCCCGTGGTGTAACAGTTGCTATTGAAGCCTTCCCGATCGTCGTACAGCCTCAATTGAATCTTTACATGAATAAAAAGTGAGTATCGTTCTACCTTGAGCTTCTTGTTTCCCAGTTTTGGCCAACAAGTACTACAATTCATGTACAAAGTGCTACTTCGTAGAAATTACTCTAGCATCGCAGAGGCGAGCCTTTTAGTACGCACATCTCTTGCCGCATCTGCCATTTACATATGTACCAAACTAGTCTAATTGCACCAATAAGGAAGGCTACAAAGTGAAGCTTGTAGCTCAGCCTGTGGTTGATCGCAGAATATCAGACGAAGAGCTTCGGGCTTCGGTTCCAGCGTTACCCGATGAACGCTTCCAAGGTTACCTCCCAATTCTCCAGTACTGTAGAGACAATGGTGTTCGGCTTGTTGGGATGGGGGCACCTTCCAAGGTATTGTTTCACGTTCCTGGTTTCTTTCTTGTTGAATGTGAGCAAAATTGTATTTGATGTTTCCACAGGTTCTACTCTTGCTTTCTAAATAGATACTTTTTCAGTAGGTGACTTTATTGTTGATTCTTTGTCACAAGTCTTGAAGTTATCTAACAGGTTTTGAACGGAATTGCAATTAGTCTTGCAACACAGCTTTGAAATGTAATCGTTTCTTCGGAACCTTCAGTTCCTTTTCCGGACTATAATTCTTTGTTGAATTTGAGTGATGTCATTTTGGCCATGTTCACAGGTCCTACGAACTGTTCAAGCCAAAGGTGTGCAAGCTCTGGACAAGGCTGAGATGCAAAAGTTCGTGCCACCTCTTGGAGGAGGCTACAAGTTCAAATCTTTTCCCAGTTCAGATGATTCAGGAGGGGTAGATTTGTTACCAAATGCATCAGGGCGATTCGGACCGGGACCGTACAGATTTGCACAAGCACGCATTGTAGCTGACTACTCCATGTCTCAGGTCATAACACAAGTGATCAAAGATGGAGGGTCTGTTGGTATCACAATCGTCATCACTGGTGCTTCTCATGTAATGTATGGGTCAAGAGGGATGGGTTTGCCTGCTTGGACTTCAAAAAGTCTGCAAAAGAGGACCCAAGCAGTGATTCTCCTCAATCCTGAAAGGCAACATATACGGAAAGAAGGGGATCTCCCAGAGGCCGACTTCTTATGGTACTCCGCAGCGAAGGTCTGCACTCGAAACTGCTTCGATCGAGCAGAGGTTGCGAGGGTCATGGGTGCCGCGGGGAGGAGACGAGAAGCGCTGCCCCAGGTTTGTCCTTCAGCAACAACAATGTTTCATTCGTAATTTGATTTATGAGAGTTGAGTTACCGAGGATATAATAGGATTTGGATGTATCTAATTTATTGGTCGTAAATTTTCCATGGGACTACAGTGTTATCGATGCCTGTCTACCAGATGGTTTCTAAGACAGTCGTCAATTGAAACGTTCATTGTCCTGGTTCACATTCCTACACGCAATAAGCCTGTTGCTTGCAAGTGGATGTCTTTTGCGTTGAGTCTGTTTTGCCGCATGTCGTAAATCAGAGTGGAAGGATTCAAGCACTATCTCGTCACCCAACACACTATCTGAGTTCAGGGATTTTCATGTTTACTCTAGTCCATGTATCTGTCAGTGTTAACTTTATGGTGTGTCGAGCAGGATATTCAACTGGGACTGGAGCGTGGTCTCGTGGCTCCTGAAGTTCTAGAAAGTTTCTTCAAGCTGGACGAGCAACCTTTATTGGCCGAACTTACGAGCCGGTTTCAGGTGAATAAATAGATATAGATCTCTTCCAAATATAACGATTATAAATTGTATCTGCTATAATACGTAGCAGCTGAACAAAACACGTTGACCATGAGGTAAAATTCTGTTCTCATGATTTTCATGGCTATGCAGGGCTTGAGAGAAAGATGGCTAGCAGATCCTCGTTTCCTACAGCGCCTTGCTATTGAAGAGACCATATCTATAACGACAACCTTGATTGCCCAATACGAACGCAGAGGCGACCGCTTTTGGAAGGAGTTGGAGTATGTAACCACGGATACCGTCCGAGGAGCCGTAGTTGATTTTTTTACTGTGTGGTTGCCTGCTCCTAGGCTCTCTTTCAGAGTCCTGGACCCTCAAGATGAATATTTTAACGCGTTGGACAGTTTAAGAGGTCTACTTGGTTCTTTCCCAGATAATGCTTTTCAAAGAGCTCAAGCAGGAGTTAGATGGGGATTAGGGGAAAGGGTAGGTGCAATTATTGTCGGAGGGATCAAGCTCTTCGGGGTAGGTTTTATTTCTTCCTTAGGTACTCTGGCTGCTACGAATCTCGTCCTTAATGCGCGGCAAAGGCTTTCTTCAGACCCAACTCCAAAAGCTCAAAACAAGCGGTCACCAATATTCAAAACTGCTCTTGTTTACGGTTCATTTTTGGGCACTTCAGCCAATTTACGTTACCAGGTATTAATGAGGTTACTAAGTCAAGCTTGCAAATAATCTTGTGCATAACATTTGTTTCTACTAGTTCTCGAAATGTGTGATTCAAGAAGCAGTTACTATGAGAAAAGAGGGCCTCAGAAGTTTGCGGTTTGTACAGGTTATTGCTGGCGTGGTCGAGCACTGGATTGCTGATTACTGGTTAGCTTCACAACCTTTAGCGGGGAACGTACTATCTTTTGTGGCTCGTACGGTCAACTCATACTTCGGCACTGGGGTACGTATCTCACTGTCATATACTTGCTGCCTCTTGGGATTAACTTTGTTTTCTGCTTGTCTACTTGTCTTGGCAATCCACTGTTGCCAAGACCACTAAATCGCCCCTTGTGACCCTTGCAATCTTTAATTAGTCAACGACCTGTTTATAACATGGGTCGGGAGTACTTTTCAATTCGTCCGTCTCATATTGTCCTCAAAAGCTTCACAATTGGAGTCGCTGGTGTTAGATAACCTTGCTGAACTTTCCTGATTATTTATGAATCTTGCTCTCTGCAGCAATGGGTAGACCTCGCCAGATTGTCCGGTCTTCAAGCCCATAATGATGAAGACGAGTCGTCATCACCGAAAGTGGACGCTGGTGACGAAGCATCAGTTACTGCAGAAATGTTGGAAACTACTTCAACCTCAAATCCGGCATCAAGTAACGGTGTCAGTAGTGTGGAAGAAGCTCAAGAATTAGTGAAAGAGCCTGTGAAGATACCCAAGCAATAATCTCATACATTAATTCTATTTTCTCATTGCCAGAATTAGCTGGCAAAACACTTGGAACTGACCGGGACGCATTGGATCATTGAGGTCGGTGGACTTCAGACACAGACCTTCACCGTGAAAGGATCATTTATGCTTAAGCCAGATTCTGAGACAAAGAGTTCTGGTATCTGCTCTGCATTGAGTAGACTAGGCATAGAAGATAAGTTCTACACGCCCTCTAAGTCCAGTTACAACCTCTAGGAGTTAGACGGGAGACTTAGTGAGTGCTAGATAGAGTAATCATACGTTAATCGTGCCCCTTAAGCTATGACATTGCATTTGTATACTAAGCAGAATATTGATACAAGGAGTTTTAGTCATCGATTTAAACTTCTATGGAATGAGAATTGGACAGGGGTCACCCGATTTGTTGAAGAGTGTATTGTACGTGGCAAGGTTTTGATAAATGTTCCTGGCCATTGATTGAATGTGAATCTATACTTCAGCATGGTGGCGTTTCACTCCACCAGCAATGTCAAAGTTTGCTCCCCCTCCAAGGAAAAATGAGTCCATTCTTTACCGTGTTCCGCTCTTCCAGCTATGAATGTCTCGGTAGGCATTTTGGGGGTTTTCTTGGTTTTCTATAATATTCCAGTGGTAGTCAGTTTTTCTGTAGATGTGGGAAGTCAGCAATATTACAGGCAGTCAGCATATATATATAACAGGCCGTATAAGCATATCTTGGATTGGGCATTTAGAATGGAAAAAACACGCGAAATAGGCAAATATAATCTTCACGAACGTAATAAATTCATCTTTTCAAAATATTTTTGGTTGTTTGGAGCTAATCACTTCAATGTAATGGTGAATATCACAGACTTTCAAGATTGTTTCTTCATATGTCTGTTCAGTATATCTTGAGCTTGCAACTGGTTGTTTCTATGGTCAATGTCAAGGTGTTGTAAGTAAAGGTATTATAAGATAGTACTCGATGCCCCATTTCTTTAATATGGTGATGTGAAGAATTGATATTCTGAATGTATTGATAGTGACTACAAAAATTATGTTTGGCAATTAGAACAGATGGCTATTGTCAAACGTCTCAACTGCTGGATCTTTTTCCCATAGCAAGAATCGCACGCTGTAGAGTAACTTCTAAATAACAAGTATTCTCAATAGATACAAGACATCAGGAGAGGAGTATATTGATTCATAATTCGGATAACATAGATCGTTAGTGTAACTAATTGGAATCCATGACGGGATGTATACTTTATGCATCCCGTCACAAGAGCAACCTGAGTTATCTGACTTATACATAACACTTAAACTCCGAATTTTAATTAACGTTTCGTGAATATTATCCTCTGTGTGAGGGTATGAGCAATGTATACAGAGAGAGCATTAGTCATTATAACCCATGTTGTGCTTGATATTTTAAAAACTGCACATACGTTTGTGTTTTGATATCCAAATCTTGTTTATCCTAGCATGCGTAATGTACCAAACGTCAATTTTTCACCTTATTCCAGATTTTTAAAGCAGATTTATAGCAAATAAATACCATGATTTGATTGACTATGCACGTCACCTAAAATATAGAAAAATAAAAATACATGTGATATGATACATTTTATATTCAATTTTGATCATAATATAAGAATGTTAGAAATGAGATCAGTTCTAAATTTACTAAAAAATTATGATATTTTATTGAAATATTTGATAATTTTTGATTTGATGTTTCCACATTAGCTACTATCTGACTTTAAATCACTATGAGGTACAGAGTTTCATATGATCAATATATGTTTCTATTGAACATATATATAATATTGAATCAACTTTAGATGTGTAAAATAGATTTTGTTCAAATTCCAAGAAAGTTTCAAACCAAGTTTACTTCTTCTATTTTTTTAAGAAATTATTTTAGAAAAAGAAAAAAATGAGTTTTTTTAACCAATTTTTTTGTCAAATAATAATGGGTTTTTAAAATGAAAATTAATATAAAAATCCAATAAAATCATGATATGAAATAGATTCTGTTGAATTTATATAAATTAAAAGCCAAAATTTTAAAATAAAAATAAAAATATGAATAAAAATTAATAAAAATAAGAATTAAAGGAAGTTTTAAAATGCGTAGAATAAAAATTAATTATAAAATCCAAATTAAAACTAAACTTTACTTATAGTTTCACATTTAAATTATTTCTGAAAATTATTTCATGAAAAGTAGAAAACTAAAAATTTTTGAAATTTTTTTTTTTGAATTTTTTTTAGATCTTATTTGTAAAAAATAAAAAATCTTTAAGTTTTATTCAAAATTTCATTTGGACGAATGTTTCAAAGTGTTAATAAATTTATTTTTCTAAAAATCATTTAAAAAAGTGTGAGAATTTTTTGTTACACTTTAATTATTTCATATACTTTTTTAATTTAATTTTCTGTACATTTGAAATCTATCTAGTTCATCCATGTAAATAATACACATTTATCATAAACAAAAAATATATTTTATATAAAAACAAGATGAATTTGTCCAAATGTTTGGTATAGTAAATATTATTTTGAAGTTTTGTATTGATTATCCATTACATTTTTTATTTTACATTTAGGATAAATCACTTACATCCAAATTTGTTTCTAAATGTATTATGAAAGAATAAAATATATTCAAATAAAATATAAATATTTACAAAACCAGATATATATATATATATATATATATATAAATAATTAGTTTTCAATTTTTTTTGAGGTTAATTCTGGTTAAAAAATACTTTCATATGTAGCTATATATAGCTGAGATTGGTCACTAGTGTTGAATATATATACACAGGGTTTATATAATACCATACAAAACACACAATATATTATCACGATGCTTTTCCTCAGTGTACAAAGTCCTTGAGTTGAAACACGTTTGTTTGTCTCTCGTCTCTCTTGTGTTGGTTGTTACCTTGAATGTCACATATGATATCAGGTTTTAAGTTTACAGTTTTTCTTTGTTATAAAAACTTCAAAATTAAATGATTTATTTCTTGTGTCACAATGTTGTGTTTGATTACATTTAAAAATTCTATTTTGAGATTGTGAACACGTTGTAATAAATAAAATATTACTTTTATAAATTCCATTATCATATAAAATTTAGAATATATAATTAAATTGATACATATTAAAAAAATATTCCAATTTTCTAGCTTTTTTGACCTAAAGAATTTTTTTGGTTGTACGATACAAAGAAAAAGAATTCTTAAGAATTACTGTTATTTACATTCTATGTAAGATGTCAAAGATATCTTGAATTTCAATTGAGATTAGTTGAATATTCATACGTTTTTCTTTAAACATCTACCACTAGTATTATATGTTAGTGATTCAAAATGACTACAATAGAATTATTTCTATAACTTTCGTAAATTTTATATACAAAGTAATTTGATTAAATCTTAGAAAAATAAAACTTGTTTGTTGTACAAAAGAAGAAGTTAATATATATTCCTGTTATATATGGGTTGTTTTTTCCAAAACTATGTAAATTTATCATTGAATCATCATATCTATAAAAAGTCATTGCAATAGATATAAAATTGAATCATGTATATGTGATAAATATATATTTATCTACTTTCTTATGATTTTTTCCTACAAATAGATTGTTATACGACATGTATATCTTAACAGTATGTATATTATAGGTTTATTCCACAAATTAAAGATTATATCTTAATAATCATTGTATAAATATTACGATATAACTACATAGTATAGACGCTCTTAAAAATCAATTACACTGAATTGTAATACATAAGATGGTTAACAATGGTTTTCTAAAAATGTATTCAGCTATATATACATCATTAAAAAAGCTAATTTTAGTATTCCAATGTATGAATCAGTTTATGTGATTTCATAAAAGAGGCTATGTTCTTTGTTAATCCTTAAGTAGAGATAATGAGCTCTTTGTAGGCAGTATTAAACAGACATGTCATCTTTATACTATTGGAGACTAGCCTTGGTTTCATATAACCTTTGTTGCGTGTTGCTCTTGATAGGATGTTGCCATAGTTTTATCTATCCATGGAAACTCCAGTTTACCGACTTGGTTCTCTCATGTTTCATCATTCATCGAAACATGTTTAAAGATGCAATTTTAATATTCATAACGAACGTCTAAATTTCATATTGAAAGATATGAAATTGAAGCTCGTGTAACAAGTCAAGGTTCTGAAAAATTTACTAACGAAATACACCACTTATATGATTATTTACTTGGTCATTTATAACCAATATGGCGTTGGATTAACAGTTTCTTGGGTTGAGACAGGAGATGCTTTAGTCGGAAAATTAACACCTCAAGAAATAGAGGGAAAATTTACGTGTCTCAAAATGGTGAAAATTCTTTCAATGAAGAAGCTCTTGAAGAGAATTTCTGCTTTTAACCGAAAAAAAGAGAGTTAAACAAAAGGCTGTACATGTACTCTATCGACATACTGTCTGATCTTGTGAGCTCACATTGTACAAGCTGCACATGATTTGATGGAGTTGACACTGCGAAGTAGAGTTCAGTGTAGCTCTGGCTATGAAGTATGGTACATGAAACATGTGACAGTCGCAGGCCCTGCATTTGCCAAAGGGAAGAAAGCAAGGAAGCTCGCTCGCTCGTGTAAACACGTGAAGAATGAAGCGGGATCGACTTCGCCAATCGCAAGAACTTCATACGAGAAACAATCGAACTTCTTGTCTCAGATCTTTCTCCAGTGAAGCAAGAAATCGGAAGAATGGACGCTGGTGCTGGTGCAAGGGGTGGGGGAGCGCCTCTGGCGTGGAGAGCTCAGACCATCAAGGTGCATGCTGTGCAGTGCGCGAAATGTGGAAAGTTTAGATCGATCCCTTGTAAAAGGTTGTACGAACGGATCAGAGCAGACATTCTTGAGCGGCCGTGGGTGTGCGAAGATGCAATACAATGGAATGCAAAAGTGAATTGTGAACTTCCCGACGCGTTCGAAGGGAATTCTCACTTTGTGCTGACCATGGACAAACCTGGGGTGCCTGCAACACCTGCTGGTTGGGACAGGAGTGTTCACATCAGAGCAGGTCCTGGAAACGAGCACTTCTCCGATATTTTCTACTTTGCTCCTGGAAATGCTTCTGTTTCCGCCCGGCGCTTGAGATCGATGAAGGGCGTGGAGAGGTACCTGCCATATTCACTATTTATTCACTTGCTTTCCAGTCTGCAAAATCTTGACTCCATATCCTTCTTGGAAAGGAGTATTGAGTTTGATTATATCTCTTCTTTCGTTGCTATGCAGATATATCGACAAACATCCGGAATCGTGTCCCAAATCCGACGGTTTGCGGAAAGATCGTTGCGATGACTTCAGGAGGCACTTCTCGTTTGCTCGACCTAACCCTCCTCACGGTTTCGTAAAGAGGGACATGCGCTACTGAAGCATGAAATCATTCCTTCGGCTTTTTGTATTGTCCAGAGCAGAAAGGAGCGACAGTCTTTGGACAACTGTCCAGTTTCATGAAAAGTGGTCTCTATAGAATCGGAATTTTACCACAGTTTTTGTAGCAGAGTTTTAGGGTGTAGCTGTAGCTGTAGCAGTAATCATCACAACACTTTGAAGATGATCAGTACGATGCATTTTTCCAGTTCTCGGTCTACGCATTGGGCTCCATGCACTCATTACTCCTTTCCATTGTCAGATTGATTTGTTCCAAAGAGAGGAGCGCATTATCATACATTTGATTGATTCGGTCGAAAGTGAGCATGTGTCTGATTTTGAAGTTTCCTTGCCAGTGGGAAACAACAGAAGAGGGAAAGAATCGGGCACAGGAAACATTAATCACAAACAAGTACACGGGCAATTGTACATTGACAATCGAGTGAGCAGAAGGGCATCGATCTGAGGCTGCGAAAGTGAAGTAGGAAGGCTCATGCACTGATTGGCTGATCCAACGTACGAACAGAAAAGGCGGCATCCGATGGCCAATGGCAAGAATGGCCTATTAATGAAGAAGGACATCGATGAAACCAAAGTGGTTGTGATGAATGGGATACATCTCACATGGACAAATGTGATGTTGCCTAGCCAATTTCACTCAGTAGTAGCAGTAAATCATAATGCAGTTGATACATGCAAATTGTTTATGTAGAATATTCACATTTTATCTTGAAATTTTACATTTAGAGTTCTTAAACTATTATTTCTTGATTGCATCAATAATTATGATTTTCATGAAATTAAAGAAGGTTGTTTTTTTAGATAGAGTAAAGATAATGATATGCATATCACATAATTTACTTGCAATTAAATATTTCAAGAAACTAAAGAGTTCATTCAACCATAATCTGATCAAAGCTATTACATTGATGATCACAAAGATAACATCACATATCAAACTTAAATTATAAGTATCCACGTCAGGTGTAACAAAAGTGTCATGTCTCCAGTCCTGATGTAATATTGATCCATTTTCACATAAAATTTCAATTAAATCAAATGGATGTTTTGTTTTGCAAGGATGAGATATATGTGTTTTCATGACATAAGTAAAGTATAATATGAATATTAATCTATATGTTTGAAGTGGTCTTGTGATTCTATATTCCTTGTAAGATGATTTTACATATTGATGTGTAATAAAACCCATAAAGTTTGATGAACCTTTATAAAAGAATATAATTCATAATTAAATTTGAAAGAGAAGGTGTAAAGATTAAACGTAACTTATATCAAAATTTCAGTTAGAGTAGATACAATTACAATTACTTGATACCATAGAAAGTATTATAAAGTAACACATGTCCAATCGCATATACTATCATACAAAGCTAACAATATTTGGATGAAAATTGATAAAGTGTGAAGTATTAAATAAAATGAAATAAATTCAATCCAAAAACTACATTCTCATGATTACATACGTGGATTTAGACGTTCCATTGCAAAAATAAAAATAATTTAACCTTTATATAATAAAGTTAAAAAGACCATGTTTTAGATGTTGAGAGATATGAATAGAATAAATCCTAGAGTCACAGAAAAAATGTACATTTTAAAGTGGTACATGCAAATAGTGAAGTACAGATATCATCATGATGTGAAACTATATAAGAAATGCATCGAAATGAAATGTTACTCATGTCAACATGGTGCAATGAATGACATTAAAACGTAGATCATATTATGGGAGTGACAAAGCCGCTTAAACCTTCTAAAGGTCAAAGCAAAACTGCTCATGAAAACTTGTTTGACGTGATTTGCTATGATTACCTTACAATCCACATGGATTTTATACAATAGGGACGTAATTCCAAGAAAGCAAAAACTGCTTCAAAAATATCAAAAAAAGTAGTTACTTTGGTATACATGTAAAGAGAATCATACAACATTCCAATATTGGAGGGAAATTCACATACCCAAAAAATATCAAGAAAAGCACGAATCATTCTATTGTAAATAGGCAGAAGGATAAAACCACGAAGTGTTAAAAATGGTAAAATGACAATTAAGCAATACATCAAACCCTACAGCTATATCATCAGCGGTAAAGAACAATTAAAGACGCTCAAAGCCTTAATGGCCAGAGACGACTTGATTGCACATTCGTCAAATGAAACTAAATAACATTTGGTGTTTAAGAAAAGGGAATGAACTAGAGTTGAAAAAATCAAAACACCATATTGGTTTCCACACACATGAGACTTTTATCGTTGTCATGGTATGGTGTATTAAGTGAGATACAGATTATTCACAGGTTCCAGATGATAGAACCATCACATTTGATCTTTTTCGAGAGAATGATGGGGCTCTATTGACTCTATCGCTAACTAGGTTGAGGTTACTTAGAAGGTAGGCAATTTTTTTTTTGGGGCTGAAAGTGAGATACAAGTCTTGTCGTGAAATATCAAACTCCTTGTACTTTGATCCTGAAAGTCTAACGGTCAAACACTAAATCTCAGGTACTTGTGCATAGTTTGTTCTATAGCAATATATCGTTCCAGTCTTGATCTCCATAACCTGAGTAGAGATTTTGTAATGAAGATCCGGTCGGTAATCTTCATACATACAGAACTGCTCACTGTTCCTTAGTTTGGTAATATCTCTCTAACTTCAAGACGGCGAGTGGTAAGATCGAAGTGCGAAAAGTGGTTTATAGATTTTTTTGTTTGTCATTTTCATTCTAATGGACAAAGGTATCTCAATTTCAAGACCTATATACCTCATTGATTGAATAGTCATCATATTGTACTAGTAGATGTACACATCTCACCATAGATTCATTACATAAGGAATAAGTTGTCGATGCAACCATTTTCTAATACTCATGACACTTCACTCCAATAATTCCTTACGTGTGTTTTTGTCATACATGGCCGATCTAAGCTCATGGGTATAATTCAACTTCTTCTGACACCACGTGAAAATTGACTGCTGTGGAAATGACTAAAACATTGATACATATATTGGAAATCATACCTTTTGATTACGTCATAGTACTGTTCAATTACAAGAGTATAGAGGAATTGAAAATTAGATGGAATCTTCTATGTCAATAGAGTTCTTTTTCAATAAACTGACTCGGCTCCTGTCAAGGTCGCACCGAAGTTTCATTGTAGAGTGCCGTGTGAGTGTAGAGCCAGAAAATAAAACTAGGAGTTAAGCAAATTCACAAGGGCGTGTGTAGAGAGGAAGGAGACATGGCAATTTTTTTGTTCATCGGGATGAAGTACAAAGATTCAAAATTTTTCTTGAGAAATTATTTAAAATACATGTATAAGTACATGGAGTAGAATTTCTGAGAATTGGATTACAGTTTCTTGAAGTAAAATCATTTCAATGGTATGAGCTACAATCTGATAATACTCAATTATCTTGGAAACATTTAAGTGTAGGGTTAATTATAGAGCTCGGAATGGAATAATCATAGGAGATACTCATTTATTAGCTGAGTCAAGTGAAGCAAGAGTTGGGGAAAAAGGTGAAAAATTATAGTGATAGAATGCAATGTTTGTCAGATAACAAAAAGCTTGCGTTTCCATTGATATGCTATTTATAATTCAATTTTTGAGTGAATAAAGGCACTGATGGTAAAATACTTCATGATTGGTGTGTGGCTCCATTTACTTCAACAAGTAAAGTATGAGGGTGTAGACACCTTAGAACAAGTTATCTCAATTTCAGAAAAGAATGAGGCTAGCCTAAACTTGACATCAATAATGTCATAGAAGAATCCGGTAGAGGTATATCGTAAGCCAATGTAGGTTTCATCATCGTCAAGTGTACTGCCCCGTACATCCAACACTACTTTGAGAATGAAAATCACTATGGAACAACTTGTGTCGCAAATGAAGCAACTTAGTGTTCATTTCTTCAACCTTGAAGCTTTCCTTCAAGCAAGATTTGATGTTATGCTTGCAAAGAAGTGGGCCACATTTCAAGAGGTGTCATAATCAAAATAATGCACATGTGCATCACATGTGGTCGTGATGAACATTGAGTACTTTTTTTGAGACGGATGTTTTTTGCAAATGACAATGAAAAGGGTCGAATGAATTTGATCAAGATTCAAGATGATTGTTAAAAAAAGTTGATTGCTAACTTTGAACACTTTTTAGGTAATGAGGTAAATGTAATGGCGACAAAGCGTTGACAAGAAGAATTTCAAACTTAGAGCATGAAATGGATGAAGGAGATGGCGAGATACAAGGTATTAAAAAAAAATCTCCGCTACGTAGTCAATTTGATTTTCAAAATTTTCCAAAATCAGTAATTCAATAGTGAACACTTACCACCTCCAAAACATATATACACAATTTGCATGCACAGAGCAGTTACCATTACTAGTGTGCCTTAGATCAGTTTTCACCCGCCTATACTATAATCTTTTCCATAAGATTATGCAACTTCACAACAACTGCATTCCTTCCTGCATCCACCTCTATCGAGACATCTAACCAAATAGAGCAGGAGAGCCACTGTTGTCGATGGAAACCGAGTCAACGCTCAAATTAAAAATAGTTTCCAAAAAAATACCCTTAAGATTGACACAAATGCTTGTCATAGCTACGGAGTTTAGTGGATTGAGGCAATGAACAACCTAATGGTCTAGGACTGACCTCGGACCTCAGCGCCAGGACGAAGTGACTAAGAGATAGCGGATACACTCGGAGGTTCTCACTTGAATTGCCAAGTAAGAAAACAACATCCCTAACTTTGACGTCAAAGATCAAGAACAAGAACTTCCTCATGCAAATCTTTTCCAAATCTTTGGATTACAGAATCAAATATGTGGGTCCGCTGGTAAAAACAAGAATAAAAAGAACAAAACAAGAAACATATCACTTCATTCACAATATATTCCGTGTTTAAAATGAGAACAGGGTTTAACAGGGTCATGAAGTTTCTTAACCCTGATAAATCCCACGTCTGCCACACAAAATCTTGTTGTAACTATACTTTGACTATTGGACAAAGTGGAAGACTAGGGCCACACCCGCTTTTGTTATGGCCATACCAGGTACATACAAACAACTGATTGCGCGTCAAAGCACGCATACCCTCAAACCCAGCGGCTAAGCCGAGCTCGTCCGCGAGGCAGAGGAGAGTCTAGTCGAGAGGCTTCGAGGGGCACGGGGCCGCTGCGGCCGTCGCTGTCCCCCGCGTTGCTGCCGCTTGTACTGCTGCCGCTGGTGCTGCCGTTCTATTGATCTATTTTGACTGCCATGCCGCTTCAACCCCCTTCGGCGGCTTTGATCGAGGCAACTTACACAGGCGGGTGTGGCCGTAGCAAAAGTAGGTGTGGCCCTAGTAAAAACGGGTGTGGCCCTAGTCGTCCCCTTGGACAAATGGAAGTAAGTTTCTAGAAGTTTAACTACTCACTAACATACACACGATCGAAGCTCGGAAGGCCTCCAAGTTTAAATAGTATGCAAGATAAAAAACAAATATTGTATCATTTATATCCAGCTTGTCTACAGAACGTTTTTTAAAACATTTAATAGACATTTTTTATAAACACGTCGTTTTTTATTTTTTATTTTTTGTAAGAAGATATTGTACCCGTAACCTTGAAATTAAATAATCCCACTTGCACTACTGATGCAAGTACATGTACACAAATTGCAAGTTATATTAATCATGATAATCATATTTGTGTAGATTATTACATTATGAAATTAATCTTACCCAAAAGTTTTGAATAAGTTTGCCAGAACATTAGTAAGATTTGAAAATTGAATATTTAAGCCTGCGTGGTTTCTTCGAAATCATTCTTGCGTCAGTTTAATTCTATGTCTTTAATTTTAGACATCATTGTTCTCATATTTTCTTATCCATGGCAGTTTTGACAATACTCATTGTCTTGTTATCATTCCTCGTTTTTCTTGGTACACATACTGGAATGTAACGAGACTTTACGCATCATGAAAGTTACATGGGAATTGCGGAAAATCCTCATCCAAGCTCAAAATATAATTTCAATCTTTCTTAATAGAATGTACTATACTCTTGTTTCACAAGAGTATAGTACATTCTTGTCATGAGTTTGAGTGTTTGAAAATTGCACTGCTCTAAATTGGATATACTTTTTCTATTTTAACCTTTTTTTGAGAACTGAGCTCGTAAATTTAAAATATAAGCTTATTCAATTCTAAAGACCTTACATGAAATTACTAAAAATTTAGCATTGAAAATGATCAAATTAGAAATAGAAGATAAATAAAACCCTTAAGGCTTTTCTTAAATTGGAATCTAAGCTAAGATTTAATGTACACATTACAAACCGATCTAGCTGTTGTAATTAGTTTTAAATGATTAATTTTCATTGTTTTTATTATTTCCGGATATATTTATTTTGAATTGAAAAGGTTTTTATTACTTGAGATAATATAATATGCCATTGAATACGTTTTGATCTGTAAATTTTACATAAAAAAGGTACAATATATGGTATATTATTACGAACATTAAGAAAAAAATTAAAAAATAAGATTTATTTTCACATATTCATTGTTTATTTTTCATCTACATGAAACTATATTCTATTAAGCTTTACTAATGCAGATTTATAACAACATAAGACTTTTTCTTATATATTTTTTTCTCCTGGTGACGGACTCAAGTTTTGTTGTATGTAATTATCGAAGACTATCAAACTATTGTATATTTTCTAATAAAGAAACCCAATGATGATGTGCCAATGTGAATACTACTCTGGTGATGATTACACAACAAAATATGAAATCAATCTTTCAAACTGACAACTAAATTTGATTAGCAAGAAAACATATATCTGATCATACCAACTCTGCAATAAGATCTACGCACAATGCTATGATTACTCATAGCAACATAACATTTGTGATTAAATTTTGAAGTTCTTCATAAAGTGTACATCTTGAAATTCACGAGGATATGAGATGAATTTACAGACGAGGGCTGCAAAAAAACTGTGAAGGTAGAAACCTCACTGTCTTGGAACTGAAATGTGTTCACCTTGGATTTAATCGGCGCGATCAAGTACAACCACATGCACTCGTGACGGGCGACAGTTGCGTGACTTGAATATTGTACTCGAGGTTGTTCCGTGTGGTGTCCTAAGAAGGCTTCATGTCACGAACTTGGAGACATAGGCCACGAACACCCACGAGGATCCTCGACCAACTTCTTCTTGCATGACCTGCCTTTGCTCTTGCACGATTCTTGCCGAAGATTTAGGCCATGCACCGAAGGTATCGTCGTGCGTCGAGTTTTCTTTTGATGAGATCGAAACCAAGTTCGATGCAGAGCAGGTGTAATGATGAACCTAGCCAGCACAGTGTGAACCAATCTGTCAAGTTTAAGACCTGATCAATCTGTGTGTTTGTTACTTCAGAGCATGTTCTTCAACTACAGCCACTGAGTGAAGACTAGAAGAAAGGCTCGTGGTCAGCCAATCTGGCTCGAGCACATTTCACACCACATTCGGCACGAACGTGTACCTGCAACTGCATCAGCAAAATCATTCGCCTGACAGCGAAAGCCTAACATTGTTCTACGGCCCACACCGTATGTTCTTATACACGGGCAGTTATCTAGGAATGAGGTACTGAGTAGATTCGATCCGGTACACCTGATACGAAATCTGGGCACAACTCGTCCTTCTGAGTCTCTCACACCCTGAGAAAGCTCTAGAACTACTTTGTTCATGGAAGGTGATGTCAAGATGACAATTAATCTTCCCTCATGGTACACCCTTTTCGTCCTTGCCAAAGAACAAATTTGATGTCGACGTCGATGACTGATTCGCAATAGAATCAGTTATAGAATAGAATCGAGGTGGAGTGTACCATCGACAGCAAGTCACAGCAGAACACAGCAGCGGCCGTGCAAACACTGCCCCAGAGCGAAGAAAACACAGAGCTAGCTTCTCTCGTGAGAATCGCTCTCACCATGTGATCCTCTGATATCGCAGGAAACCACGATAATTTAGGATAAATTCGAGGGTTGCACTAAACATATCTAGCTGAATACCGGTCACAGTACTCGACGTCCTCAAAGCGACCTTACATGCCACACATTAAAGGCCATGTTACACGCCTTGCCCTGATAGGGGTTTTTGCATCGCTTTCTCGTCCCTGTTTTAGTTTCCTTTGATTTCTTCGGTAGGTTTGGGTGGAAAGCTACTTTTCCTCGTCCACTCTAGTTCAGGAGGTCCACACCTTTGCGCTTTACGTGTTTCAGGTAGAACATGGGGGTATATCAAATGCATCCGCTCTGGCGTGAACTCGAGGAAGAATTTGAGTCATGCTACGATTTTATTCAGACCTGTCGAGAATGGGGAAACCACGAGTCCGAATCTCATCTGACACACAGTAGATCAAGTCGCTGGTAGCTCGAAAGTTGCAATCCCACTGGGCCTTAGGAGTCTAGTGGCAGATAAATAGATCGGCGATTGGCCACATTCTACGAGGAGAGGGGAGGGGGACCGAAGCTTGAATCGTGAAACCAGAGACGTGAAAGGAGAGGAATCAGAAACATGCAATCTTCAGTCACAGCTACCATTACCAGTATATTCGTGGACAATTAGCAGGCAATATGAATGTCAGCGTTCAGCAGATGGAATTTCCCAAGGTGAGAGAAATTGGAAATCCTCACCTGCGGTGACCTGCACGCATAAGATGGGTGGCCAACTGTATTACAATACGATTGAGCAGCTACAAAAGTACGCTCCACTTTTGGAGCAAAATTAGGCCTCTCGCCATATCCTGAATATGCCAATGTCCTCGCTATTCCAATCCGGATGCAATTCCTCAGTGGGAACCTTGGACCACACTAAACCTTGTCTACCAAATTCTTGGAAGCACTCGGTCGTGCCAGGGCGGAGCTCATAAGACAGCAGAATTTGTGTATTTCTGTCACTCAACTCGATCAGTGTCTTACAGAGGGCAGCCATGGAGTCGACGTCGTACAGAAGGTCGGACATGAACACATAGTCCACCGGAGGGCAAAGATGCGCGCAGCTCTCCCCCCACTCCAGCTCTTGAACCTGCACTCTGCTCGAGAGATTGTTGGCTACAACATTCCGCTCCAGACCCGGCAGAAGAGGCCTTCTATCAGTCAGCACCACCTGAGCTCCGAAGATGGCCGCTGCCAAGCCTGGAAGACCTGTTCCTGCCCCCAATTCCACGACCCTTTTGCCGTCCAACGCATTGCGACCCCATGCCGGTGTTCCCAACCAGTGGGCGAACACCAGGGCACAGTCCCATACCCACGATCCCGTTAGACAATTCCCTGTTCCCGCATCAATCACATCGTCGTGCTCCCACACGACCAATGGCTTCCCCGCGATCTCCAGAGCCCTGCAATTGACCATCGCTCACCCTTGGCCAGTGACCTCTCGTCTTCGCCGGAAGCTCGAATTCTAGGGATTTCTCCACATAATGCCGATCGATTACAGACTCGATTCCGCATCCGAGGCGCGGCTCTTCATTTAATGCGAGATTGCAACCCTTCTCGTCTTCCCTGTTCTGGTGGAGAATTCAAGCAGGCTCATCACATGTTCGCTCCTCGACCACGAATCTCGTCCGTCGAGCTCATTCTCCCGTCCATTCATCGTGCACGGGCTGTCGATTCTCAATCTTCTGCCGCGTGCCACCATCGATCGCTTCCAGAGTTGGCAGCCAGTCTCTCCCCAGCCATCGCCTCGTCGATTCCGCCTTCAGACCAGCGACGACGACGACGGGACAGTGCCTTCTGTTTCTTGCGCTCCCTGCGCCTCCAAACCGACAGGAACGTTAGCCGCGTTTGGGCTAACGTTCCTGTTCCTGTAACGTTCCTTTGCCCTTCGGCGCGTCCTTAAGTCTGGATGGGATGAAATACCATTCGTTCTTTCTATAACTGGTCCAGTCGCGATCGCGGTCATGCGGCCTCCAATCACGCGGTCATAAGGTCCCGCGTTTGGCAGGCCCACTTCCCGGTTCCCCGGGAGGGCGTGCCCGAGGCTCTGGCTGTGAAGTGGTAGCGACCGCGGGCAGCAGCTCAGAGACTAGCGAGATTCCGGTCACCAGATCTGCTGCCGTGTCGAAGGGAGCGCAGGGCGTCGTGACGTGGTCCAGGGACGCAGGAAGATCTGGCCTCGTGAACGACGTCAACTCACCGCGTCACGACGACATCACCGCGGCAGGGCGTGATTGGACGCCCGCGGAGGAAAAGGTGATCTGCGTCCGCACCGGCGAGAGCAGTGCGTCAGAGTTGCGCATTGCGGAACCCAATCTGTCCCAAGGCATCGCTTCTGACCACAATCGGGGCCCGGCGAAAGGGGCGTCGGCCATTGGACGCGCATCGACGACCTCAGAAGGTTGGTCGGTGCGTGCAGCACATTTCCAAGACTCCCAATCTCGGAATTGGAAGGTCATATCGACTGGTTGGCCCGGTCACTTGCTCCCACGTTCTCGCTGCCTGTGAATCGATTCACTCGTCGACATGTCTTGTATCCGGAGAGGCATGCAAGTAAAGGTCCAAAGGATAGGAAGATTCCGTCAATGATGAACGAAATCCCACTAATTAGCTTATATTTTTTCCCATTTGCATTATAATTTTAGACGTCGAAAGATACTCAACTATTGTAAACACTCGGATAAACATCGACTGATATGACTATTATGTTCAGTATGATTTTGTGAAGAGGTTGAATATGAATATTTAGAAGTATTAATATTTTTTTAACTACTAGTTATTTTTCAGTTTGGATTAATTATCCTTCATTTATAAAATAATATCCGGAGCTCTAATAAACATAGGGATAGTTCTGTTCAGCAATATGAATAATAATTACTCAAATTGGATGATAATTAAAACCTCTCTTTTTTTATTGCTAATATTCTCGTACTTATACAAATATATTTTCAATACATTCTATTAAATAGAAATATATAACAGTTACATGTCCATATCGTATCCGAATTATGCAAGCTATACTATATACATTTCGTACTCCACTGAAGAGCCTTCGTGACTGGACTTAACCTTAGACATCAATGTGTTCAGTTCTCGTGAGCTGAAAGAAACTGGAAGTAAATCCACATCATTCCTGTAAGTCTTCCCGACACCGAGCAGTACCTGTAATGCCGTGGGAGTGTGGAAGTGTCCTGAGAAAGGGACATGGCGATCGGCTGTACGGATGGTGCAAGCGTACAACTACTGTCCTGAACTAGGCGACAATTCCACAACTGAGCGTAGTGGATCGTCCTGCAGGACTTTCTCTGCGCTATTCCGAGAGCATCCATGTTTCACTACTCTTCGCTGAGCTGAGGACAAGCTTTGCAGCTTGAGAGCAGTCATTGATTCGGATGACTTCTGAAACTTCGATGTCCTTTTCATCTGAAGTGTGTAAAGGACTGTGGAACATTCTGTTCAAGTTTATTCTCGTATGTTCGTTCGTTTTCCCAGTATCCTCAATCATGGGCTGTCCGGAATTCTGAACAATTTCCTTGATTATGTTTGGAAGTTTGCAGCCTAGGACCTGAAGCGCAACCAAAAAGAACCATGATTCTGGATAGGCTCGCAAGGTCGATGATCTTTTCATCTGGAGTTCAAGGGCTGATGAGATTCAAGTGAATCATTCTGGTTCCTGCGCTTGATCGCTCGACATGTTTTCCCAAAGTATCCCACTCTGGGCGGCCAGAGGTGTATCAGAGTCAACTACTACTGTGAAGATTTCTAGGAGTTCGTTCCGATCACTTTCTCTTCACGACGAACTCAAATCGACCTGCCATGATTACTTCTAGTTCCAGGAATATACTGCTCGCTCAGATGCTTGGATGCGACGGAACTCCGTGAGCTCACGCTGGGCCCACTAGAGCCATTCTGCTTTCTTTGCAGTCATCCGAAATCAAATCAGCTTCAGGATCACATCGAGGAATCATAGGAACATTACGGAGGCTGAATATGGTTCCACGACAGAATAGAACCGTACTCGTGGCTCCAGATTTTTCCTGCGGCTGCTTAGTCGGAATCAGATGCTGTGGAGATGGGAACCATGTCGAGGAACATGATTCTCCTCACGATGACGGTGGAAGGTATATGGGCCGACGACATCAGAGAGAACAATTTGGTGACGTGTGTGAAAGTTATGTTCGATCGGATGAATCCTTCTTTGGGTATCACTTGACCACGGAAAGCATGCGGTGGGAGAGTCCTGTACACATGCTGCTATGGTCGTTATGAGAACTCATTATTCTAACGGATCTATGGATAGTCGGAGGCAGCAATTCGTAACTAAAGTTGCGGTAGTTGACAGATCTATCGCAGAATTGTAATCGAATAGAGGTTTGGGCTGTGGGTTCGAAATGGGTAGCATCGGTTGATTACAACCAGGTGATGGCATCATGACATTTATGATATCATCCTGCAGCAGACGGATCCAGTGAATGAAATCAGGAGAGAGGGGATTATGGAGATCAGGTGTAGATTTAGTTTCTCGGACAAATTGCACTGTTGAATATTAGTATCTGGGAAGATCTTGTTGATAATGTACTCCGAGACAGCGAGCACTTCACGCTCCATTCTCTTTTCAGCTCACTGGAGATTTGCAAAGTCCTGGTCCATTTGAGTTCTGGTCGACTTTAAAGTCTACTCCTTCCGTTCAGACTGTACATAATGCTCATGCAAACGACATTGTGGCACTTGAAGGTAAAGAGGTGCAGCGTACGATAATACTTAATGTCAGTAAGAGACTGGCTCGATCTTTGTCTTGGAGGAACATGATGAGTAACAGTCTCAGCTCTCCAGTAACAGTTTTTGATACAAACCCGTCGTCTATTTCACTTCACCTGTTACGACTGTAAACGACCACTCAAACCTCGTAAAATTCTGAAATTCTGAAATTCTGAAATTTCTCCTGAAATTCTTGGTGGACAAGGAATGTTTGATCTACCAATCAATTTTCCGGTCATACCAAAACTTCCAGCAATCGCGCTACATTACTGTTCGGATCGAGCGGACATCCAATAACATCCTCATTTGCAACATCCAGCCACATGCACTTACCGACATCAGGATGAGTGAATGCCATTCTGTGAATGGTGTCAGTAGACTGAAGCGCCAGTGCAAATTCATTCACCCCTTGTAAACATCCAAATCACATGCAAGAACACTGCACGGTCACGAGCAGCAGCTTGAGCACCATTCACAGAATGATGAAACACTAAAATTTAATCGCATGTACTTCAACAGAAGATAGACTCCTTCATTATCTGGAAATATTTTACAGAAGCAAAACTCTCAACAAACGTTCGACTTGGCTGAGTCGGCACGAACATCAGTCGGATCAAGTGCACTACGAGCGAAATCTCCCGAGTCAAAGGAGAGCTCGAAAATTCTTTTTGAGTTTCCTTCACCTACAGGTCATTCTCGAACGAATCGACTTGTAGTTTTCTCTCTCTCTTTCTCTCATCGTGGATGTCTAGGGCTCGCCATTATTGCCACTGTGTGCGGCACGTTTCTGGTTTTATGCGGTCTTGAGTGAACTAACGAGGCTATGTCTGACATGCTGTAGATGCGTCCTTCGAGTTTGGATACAGATGCAACGATATCTGCAGTGTATAGCCCTCTGGAGCGAACTGACTGACTGACTGACTGACTGACTACCTACCTACCAGTGAGTGGTATAATCAAAGCTCTATCTATGTATTGACATGTATCTATCTGGAGCTCTGTAGATTTGGTATGTGCAGGTTCAGACTTATCTTCGTCTTCTTATTACTCATCAACTCCTCCAAAGAATTCGGAGTAGGTTGGCAGTTCGGATGCATGGTACAGACAAGATCCCAATCCTTACGAGAGGCCGATTCCACGCCCTAGAGATCGAAGCTGATGGAATAGAACTGGAAGCGCGTGTTGCAGTATTTGAAGTTGCGGTTGCGGCATGCTTCTGCCACGCTATCCTGAAGACTCTCGGGCCCGGACACCATCACCCCCAAATCCTCACCTGGGTACTTGCCCGATATCCCCTCGAACAGATCTGCAGAAATCCCCAGCAAGAAAGAATTAGACAATGACAGCACTCTGACTGTTTCCAGAAAGAAGAAACAGGCGATAGGAAATCAGAAGAAAAACTGAGCACGAGGATGCATTCAATGGCAGCCCAAAAGCTGTCAGAGCGGGAAATCTCCGGGCACGATCTTACCTGCGATGTTGGGACGGGGACCTTCGACAATGGTGGCATGGTCCAGGAGCGAGGTCTGGTTGCCCTCGAGGTCAGCTGCGCCGGGGCGTGCCACCTGATCGGGAGATGGCATGAAAGCGGCGTCGGTCTTGGAGAGGGAGCGCTTGCTCCACATCCACATGAGCACCACGGCTCCGCCGAACACGACGACGCCCAGAAGCATGCAGAGGAAGAGAATCGTGACGGCTGCGGCGGTGGAGAAGGCTTTGCCCTGGGGCCCGTCGGAGGCGTGGCTGCTGCCGTGCTCGAAGAAGAAAGGGGCCGAGCTATGGTTGTTGGGCCGCACCACGGCGATGTGGAAAATGCCGTAGACTATGATGAAGCCCGTGGTGGCAGCGGCGATCACCGCAGCCTGCCACAGATTGCTCTGCCCGATGTGCGCCACCTCGCGCCTCGGCTGCTGGTCGGCGGCCGTGAACAGCATCTCCTCCGAGCCCACGGGCACTCCCACCGCCAGGCCCGCAGCTTTGCCCTCGTCCTTGCCGTCCCCGCCCTCCCTCGTCACAAATGTCCTGATTACGATGTTGAGCTTCGAGTTTCCGAATTCCGGGTACATCTGCGTCGGCGCTACGTCCTTGAGCGTGGCGAGATCGGTCCTCCTGGGCACGCACCAGATGAGCTCCACGTTCTCGGGAATTCCTTCCTGCCCCATCCGGTAGCGGCACAACAAATCCCGAATGATGGCCATGTAGGGAGTGATTCCCACTCCTCCAGCAACGAGCACCAGCGTTTTGTACCTGAATCGATCGGAGAAGGCAATACGAGCCGAAATTGTTAGAATTCGCGCTGAAGGACTTCAAGTCCATCCATGGTGTCGAGGATTTAGTCAAAAGCTTGGAATTGGAGTGAACAGCAATGTATGAAATTGAGCTGAATCGACCGACCTGAGGAAGTAGTCTCTCTCGGGACCGTAGGGACCTTCGGCGAATAGCTTGAGTGGCAAGGGGCAGCCTCCAGATTTGTTCTTCGAGGGTTCGGACTCGGTGAGAGAGTCCAACAGGCTGCGGGTCCATCCTCCGAGAGGCTTGATGCATATGGACATGTCGTTGCTGTTCTCCAGGGAGCTGGATGTGGTGCTGAATGGGTGCCATTCAAAGCGCGAAACGCTGGGTACGTTGATGTAGATCATTCCTAGAGCCTTGTAAGTCAGACCTGCAAGGGCGAGGAGATCCGATGAGGATGACAAGAAGTTCCAAACACGTGTAGACTGTGTCGCTCGACTGGCTGGCTGGTCATCGACTTTCAAGCAGCTGGTTATGAATTTCAGCTTTGCTTCACTTACTTGGAGATTTCGGGAACTTGAGCTTGACGACCCCACTGGGTAGGACCTGAGCAGACAGAACGCTCACAGCGTCTCGGGACTGAATCATGCGCAAGAAGCGGTCGATGAAATAGAGCATAACGCAGCCCAGGAAGTAGAAGGAGGCGAATTCTCCGACGTGCCAGGCAGCGAAGGCGAAAACCAGAAGATACATATGGTGAGTGACGTAGAAGACATCGAAGAAACGCTTGCGGACGACTTCCAGTGAGGTGACCCACAAGAAGATTCCAGCTATCATGGAAATTACTCCTGCCAAGTTGGACACTCCGAACCTCGGCCATGTGAAAATCTGAATAAAATTCATCAGAGAAAACGGAAAAGGTCAGAGAAAGAGAACGGCACCATTCAGCACCATTGAGCACCTGCTTCGCTCTCGAGTAACAAAGTGCATGTACACGCTATCAAGACCAATGCATGACTGAATGCGTCTCTACAAATTCCTCACAACTCTGAACATGATAAATCCAATGAGTAGGAGGCACCACTGGCCAGCATTACTCACTCCATCCGCAACTTCGCCCCCGGTGTAGTAAATGTGGAGAGAAAATGTGATGGAATGAGTCAACAGAACCCAGAGTGAAAGGTGACCGAGCCATCTGTGGTATCGAACAGCATGCTCGAATGGTATGTTCAGCAGTCGCAGAATTGGAGACGCCCTGGAAATGGGGAAGAACAAGAGGGCCATGGGCAAGTACCACGCGCGTCCAGTCCAAGTTCCAACTCTTCCAACTTTTATCATCCATCTGCAAAATCAGCAGCGGAATCAGTTCCTGAAATACTCTCATGCACTGAATATCAATTTGCCATGAGGAGGAAGAATTTTCCGAACGACGTTCAAATTTTACTTTCAGGCGTGATTGATCGAATTCTCATGCTCCGGGTCATTGAGTGCGATAGGAAAACAAGTACCTTTCTCTTCCATTCTTCATCTCGGTGTGATCGACGAGGTCAAGAGCGGGCAGCAGCTGGTTGCAGAACAACCAAAGGAAGCCAAAGCCCACAACTGCGATCAACGCCAAATCCGCTGCTGTCAAAATACCCATCGGAGTTCCCACTAAGATAGGCTGTGTCCACATAGCATTGGAAATTTTTGCCCAAAATCGACTCCATTTTGGCAGCTCGCTGGTCCTTTGCTCACTGCAGCAGTGGAATCAACATATCAAATTCTGAACATATTATCATCGTGCAATCGAGAGCTCTTGGTGTGAACCACAGCCCTGTAATCTACACGAATTCTAAAACATCTGCCCACAGCCAGAAATTCCCAGAAGAAGACTAGATTGGAAATCTCCGACTTCGGATACGCAAGTTGGCAACGAGTCAAAATTTCCTACTGCGTTTTCCTCTATCGTGAAGAACTGTTACGAGTGAGGTGCATGCGTATCGTGATTCGCCATGTTTTTTCTCGTCCATGCTTGTTTCCAAGAGTGAGGCCATCAAGGAGGTAAACTCTAAGTTTCAAAACTCCCATTGTCTGACGTCCCCGAGACGTAAATAGTTTGAGATATTCGGATCTGCAGTGAGTCTCTGACTTGCGCACTTTGGCTAGCTTAAGAACTGCCGACGGGCAGCCTGTTGTCCGAGGGCCACCGAACAAAAACTACATCTCAAAATTTGGATACTACAATCGATGTGGTCGATGAGGAGAGGGTTGCTTACCGCTCGGGATACTTTCGTAGAAGCTCCAAGTAAACGAGAGTAAGGATCGCAAAGAGGAACACCGGCAGAGTGTACATGAGGTAGTAGGGTCCTGCACGATTTGCATGAGGCAACTGTCCATTAGTGGCGACTCTGAGCGGACTCTCTTCAAGAAAAGTACGAAAGAAATCAAGAGAGCGGTCATACGGGCACAGCTGTTCATGATAGTCCTGCGCATGCTAGAGACTAGGATTGCACGCTGTGATTGGAGCTATTCACCCCATCAGGCCCAGTATTGGAACCTCAGATACAAGCTGCAATTATGCAGCGGAAACATTCAGGTGTCTTCCTGTCGGTCTCTCTTGCTCTCGTACCATTCAAGTCCAAGAAATCTGACTGAGTGTCCTTAATGGCACCCGCCTTGTACTCCATTCCTGGCTCCGTGGGAAAGATGAGCCATTCGATTGTCCAGAACAGAAACAGTCCCCACAAGAGGATGAGAACTGCAGTCTTGGCAACGAACGCCATGGCTGCGGATGTCAGAAGCCAACTTCCAAGTGTTATCACCGAATTTTTCAAATCAAAATCTTCACGATGATGAGCTTATGAAGCCCTATGACTCCATTCCGCCGGCTCCCGCCTCCCTTGTGAATCTTGCCAGAGCTGCAGGCCTAGACTGGTGGTAGGCAGATTGTGCTTGGCAGACTTGGACATTGGTATCTGAGCTTTACGAGGCTTTTATAGGGCCTGCGCCCGAATCACACCTTCTGACCTCCTCCTCACGTGGGGCCACGGCCAGACACTATCTTGGATTGAATAGAATAAGCCCGCTTGAATCTTCGCTCGCCCACAGCAGCAGCGTTTAGCTCCTGTAGCTCGCTTCCACCAGCCGCTACAGCCTCCAGATCTATGAGCGGTCGGTCAATCACCGAGCATAGATCCACACCTCTCTTGCCCAGACGAGATGTGCCGTCAAATTCTGTAGCCATCATCCTTCTGTCACCGATCGCCAGGCCGTGGCTCCAATCTCGTACTCCCCTACCAGCGTTCGCGTTGCCAAAGGAGTTTCGCGGATCTCAGCTCAGTGTACTGCAAAAGTACGTCGAAAGTACAGTGGCCTCCGCCATGGAGTCGGCAGAAGACTGCGGAGCCTCTGTGAGCCCCGTGTCTCCTGATTCGCCGCTTGTTCACTGAGATTGTGTCGTTTTATTGTTAAGAATTCATTCAGGGTGGACTATTTTTGTCATCTTGCGCTTTAATACTAAAGTAAGATCTTCAGGCTTTAACCCCTTGATTCACAGGTCAGCGGATTGCAGCGGCAGCTGCTGCTCGTTTTCGGTGCAGGGTGCATATTCAGAAATATGTCCGTGTTTTGTTTGCATGCTGAGGCTCAATCATCAGTACACTTCCTAGTACAATCGCAAGTACTCGAGAAACAGAGGCTGCAGTTGTTGGCAACTTGTGTTCGGACTTCGGAGTACGATTCCCAATCATCCGGCTTCAGCTTACGCTATCTGAGACATGGCCTTTGAGGTTTGCAAAACGTCAACTCTCTTTCGGCCCAAAAGGGGTTCGCACTGTTTGTGCGTTTGACGTTTTCCGGGCTTCGCTGAAGCCTTTACTGCAGAGTTCTTGGGGCTGCCTGCGGATGCCGATCGGGAGGGACGATGTTGGGGATAGCGGGGATATTTTCAGACGACTGGCCATGCAGTTCCATCGCAGACGACGTCCTCTGGACTGAACTGAGGGAGCGCAGTTTCGCAGTCCTCTCCGCATGCTTTGTTTGATCTCGAACAGCATCAGCAGCTCCGTTCTCCATGTCGAGATGAGACGACAAGATGGCTCCATTAAAGTATGGATTTCTGAAAGTCAACCAGTTCGCTCCAGTAGAATGTTCCAGTAAACATCTGAATTTCAGATTCATACTTCATTCAGATGGTACTTACAATTTGTTCATTGCTTCATCGAGTTGTAGGCACAGTAAGCGTAAATATAGTCTGCTTTGGATAGAGAGGTTATGGCTCCATGAGCCCCGCACATGTTCAAAGATTTCGGTCATAGCCGGCTTCTTGAATCGGCTCCTGTCGTCGAGCGAAGCATCCTAAACTTAGTCATATTGGATAATTCGTGTGACCTCGTCGTTCTGGCCACAGTGACTGTGAAATCATAGTGAAGATCCCGCTCACCGTCAACAGATACTCCGGCTTCTCCACTGCTTAAACTGAAGGTATGACGGTGTCGATTATTCCTAGAAACTCTCTGGAGCAATCGAGGTCTGAAATCAGTGAATGAACACAAGCCTGAACGGTTTCTGATAATCAAAGTCATGCCTTGGGCTCATGAAAATGAATGAATCAATCAATATGCGGTTCTGTATTCTAGGAGCAAATGGGTCGAACTCTTCAAGGTCTGGGCTTGCTTTTTTCTGAGGTGTGATGACAATGTGAACAGATCTCAGTAGGCTTGCAAGCCGCCCGACTACAACTGGCAGAAGCTATGGCCGAGGGGTCGAGGTAGTTGCTCTCCCTAAGGGTGACAGTGTTATGATCACGGTATCGACTCTCGAAGTTTCACGCGAAAGTACTCGGTACTACAAACGTATATATCATGATTGTACTTCTCTCTCCCGCCTCTTCCTCCCACCACGTCCGAGAAATTCTTCTCGGCTGTCACAGCGTACAGCACGTCACACTCCCATATATTCCAGATTACGAAGGTACTGGGTCAAGGATGTGGAAAGTTTGGAGGACTACAGTCGAACCAGGCAAAGTGAACGATTTCTCCAAATGAGAAATCTCTGAAGAACTATAGCTCATCGTGAGCCCTGCAAATACACAGGGCAATATTAATTAGTTCAGATTTTGCATTAGTTGAAGGACCAGTCCGACTTGTAGCTGCTAAAAAATAAATATATCGCATTTCCTCATCAGCTGAATCTTATCGTCTATAAGAAAATGCTATCTATTTGACAGGCTGAGCATAGAAGAACGTGAAAGACCTTCAAAGAACATGCTTATAACAGAAGTTTCAGATTCTTTTTCTCTGCTCCACGTGGGTAAGCGAAATCTTTAAGCCACAGAAAATTTGAAATTCCTTATATAATTAACTTTATATGCCGTGCATGTGACCCCGAGTGAGAGTACATGGCCAGGTTGGACTGTACTGCGTTATACTACGGTACCTAATTTGTAGGCAAAAACGTCCAGGTATACTATGACCTGTAGGCATACTGAACGTGGTACACATGCACGCGTCACGTCTTCAAAACAAATTATGGTACTTTATAGCCTTACCGACGACGCTTGCTTGCACATTTCATGTGGCGGAGGAGTTGACAGTGCATAGCCAAAACGAAGAGGATGACACACTCAAATACAAGAAAAGAATGCGAATACCCATCAGTTTTCCAAGATGAAACATGGGAAAGCCTCAATATCGTCACAATTTTGAATAGGTACTAGGACACATAAGATATTGAAAGCATTCAATCTCTTACATTGATTGCTCTCCTCTATATAACACCATTCAATTTTCTATTGAACAACCAAGATTTGTGCACTAAATTAGTACATACAGTAAAGTAGAGTGATCAATATTTGGCACTGGTACAATAATCTCACAAGCGTTCCATAAAAAAATAAATTGGTTTTGTGAGTTTTTAACTACATCACAGAAACTTAAGTATATCTCTCATTAATAAAGTGTGATCTTTATGCTTTATCCTTGTAGACTTTGTTTGAATCTGCGAGAGTTTTGAATTATAAATCATCATCACATTGACAGAGTTATCGAGAACCAATTATGAGTATGTCATAATTTTGGTAGACATAGCAAAATGATGGTCTTTGCTATCTTGAGGATATGGATAATTCCTCTGTGAAAATGACCCAAATATTTCGAGACTGCAAAAGTCACATTCATCTTAATATCATGGATGATTTGCACTCCATATGTATATCGAATATAAGTATGTTTTACATAATTATTAGCGTTCATATATATGAGAAACACTTATTTATATGAAAAGAAATGTGATATACCACATCATTTAAGAACCTCGTCTTAGTACTGGTTTTAATTCATTGTTGATCATATATTGCGAAACTTCTTTTGTTAGTACTAAAAGAGTAGTTAGAAACTGTACTTCTCATGACTTGTTTGCGTAGATGCGTGGCATAAAGTCATATTGTTTGATGCTGCATTATAGGAGAAAATCTAACTCTTTCAAATGAAAGTGGACCATAAGTTCATGACTGGGAGTGTTCGAGTGAGTGGTCCGAAGATTTGGGGATCAGGTCGGACAAGTTTAGAGTCACCTCCGTTCGGTTTATGTAGTGATGATTTCCCTTAGAAGACGGCTGTTGAATCATTTTCAACATAGAGCTCAGCATCTATGCAACGAATAGCACTTGGCTCCGTTCAGAAAATCAAGATGCAAGGGTTGCCTTGGGTGATCATGCGTACCCTATCAGATTCATGATCTAAAATAACGAAAGCAAAGAATATTAAGAATCAGTTTAGAACTATAAATTACTTTCCCTGTATTTTTGGACATCAAGGGGATGTAGCTCAGATGGTAGAGCGCTCGCTTAGCATGCGAGAGGCATGGGGATCGATACCCCGCATCTCCACGAGGAATCCGAAGCTTAATGCTCCGCTAGCAAAATGTCCGATCCGCATTATATACTTTTTGGGTTCACATCCTCGCGGATTGATTACTACTGCGTAAATGGAAAATTATGTTCTGACTGACAGATCTGTCATATTGATCTTCTTTGAGTACTGGATAATATCTTATTCAAGCCTACATGAAGTTCAATTTTTTTAGACAAACAGCAAGCAATATAGTGGATTAATCAAATTTGAGGACATGGATGAATTTTTTGAACTTAGTATTGATTGAATTGGGGAAGTGTAACAAAAGGGTGTGACATATTTAATCTGTTATGATGGCAAAATGTATGTAAAGACTATAAATAAGATTAAGTTCAAAAGTTGTGAGGAACGAAACGTGTAAAGAAGTGTTGAGCGGACTTGAAGGAAAACAAAAAGTTGGAAGACAATGATATAGAACAAAATTTATTTGCGATAATAAACTTTTTGTAGCGAATTTAAGGAAGAATTGATCTGCTGGAGGAGACTGAGATTCCTAAAATAGAATCTTGTTGAGAAATATGTACATATACTCTCATAAAATCTACAAAAATCCTTCTGGAATAGGTGCAAAACCATCTTTGAATCTGCGGATGCAAGGATTAGATAGTCGTATGTGTTGTATCTCTTGGTTGTAAATTGAAAGCATAGGGCACTTGTACAATTAACTCGTAGAGTTTTTCCAAAGTCAGCTGGAATAAGTGATTCGCAAGTCAAGAATCTACTATTAGTTGGAAACCAATGTTCTATTTATCAATTGATATCCTTCATATAATATTCAACTTGGCTGCTGAAAGCTCATCTAGAACTCCACCAACATAAAAAGAAGGATTGGATCGGTGGAGAGAAAAACATATGATGTCTTGGACAGGTAGGGGCTAGAGTCACATTATCATACCTTGACTGAATTCTGAGATATTCAGGTTTTACATTACTGCGTCTGAAGGACGAAATACTTAAAAAAATACTTCGACCACAACCGCGTCAACCGGTGGCAATCAAGGAGTACTACCGATCAGCACAGAGAGAGAGAGAGAGAGAGTGTGCGCGTGTGAATGTAAGTAATATGCAAGAGGACGGACGGATGGCTTCGGTGATACTGACTGCTGAAGGAGGAGGCCAGGAATCTCCGAACGATGAAGAGGTCCATGGACGTGACACAAAGTCAACGGGGTAGACGATCGACTCAGGTCCTGTCGAGGAGCTGCAGGCAGCTCGGATGTTGTCACTTGTCAGGTGTCGTTAACTAAAGTAGCAACGGTCGCTCTTGGCTTCGCTTCGTCGCTTGTACAAGTTCTCGTGCAAGTACGTGGCTTTGTACTGCGCTTTTGTACTGCATGCTTGCTTGCTTGCTTGGCTGCCTTTCCGCTATGATTCGATTTCGATGTGTGGTTAGCAGTGGGATTATACAAGTCAACTCACTTACTGGATCTGGACATGAATATCAGACGTGTGCGAATCTCACTCTTGCTCTGTCATACGCTAGATGTTCGTTCTACATTAAGACTCCCGTCGTTGCAAAGGAAGCTAGCTCTGATTCTGATACACTTGACTGCGGTGATGAATTTCGAGATGACACAACTCCTTCTCGTGAGTCTTTCGGTTTGTTTCAGGAAAAGAGTGTTAGAATGTTGCTTACAGACTTCAGATACGAGTGTCGTCGGCCAAACATGGCGTCATGCTTTGAAATGCAGATAAATGAACGAACCACACTTAAACTATCGAACTAACAGAGATCCACGAAGCGTAAGGTGAAACGTGGCCAAATCGACATTGACAGCAACAGCGTTGGGAATCAGCTGGTTAGCTAGCACTCGATCAGTATCCAGCATGATAAATACAGTCATCAGTTTTACTTGCTTCTGTACTAGGGTTGTACTGTGCTTATGGTACGATGCAATTCTAGAAAGTCGACAAGGTCCAAAAGACACCACGATCGTTTCAACCCACGTGGTCAAACTTGCGATCACAAGAGTATTAAGCTTCACCTTCCCATCCATCGAAAAACAGAGACGAGTTCTAGATGCACTCGAGGCCAAGCCTGTTTCGTGGCCATGGAGATACATCCACTAGCACTTGTGATTTCCGCAAATCCTGCAGACCGAGCTCAAAGACCGTGGTCACTCAGATGTGCCAAAGAAGTACTCAGAGAAACTCGGAAGATGTCTTGCAGTTTGTCACCACCCTTCAAATCATTTGGGTTGTTGTCGCTGGATCGAGTGTTGTGGGCACACGAATGACACGAGACAACAAGATGAAAAGGGCACCACATAAGGAGACGAAGACCCGATTCACTAGTTGCACCAGAAGAAGCGAGAATCATGGCTGTTCAATCATTGCAGGTCAGCTGAATCCATATTTGGTTTTCTGTTCATTTCTTTCTTTTCTGAATTCTGCACAAGTCTCATGGCATTGTACGTTCATGATCAGCGACCGAGTACAGGCACGCCTTCTATGATTTGAGATTGTTCTGACTGCTACATTTCTAGCTTACTTGCGGACAACTAACTGACGCTATAGTCCTCCTCCAGTGTGGGCTATGCATATTGCTTTTCCAATGTCTGCTTCTTCATATTTGTGAAGCTCTCGGGTAATGCACGTGCCAGACACGCAGTCAGTATCATTCACCTGATCGCGGTCCTCACGACAGCAAACGATGTAACTGCTTAATATTGACGGTCGGATCACTATCCAAATATGAACAGATTCGAGATCTGCAACCTACGCAGACAGTTTTTGTGGGTAGTAGTAGGTAGTAGAGAAAACGAAGTGTAGAATTTTCAACGCAGTCTCTCTTCTACTTTCATTGTTGCATTTAGGTAATAAGTCTTCTCGACCAGCTTTAGAATGAATGGTCTGCTTTACCGTCACTCTTCAGTATTCTATCTTTCAGACGTATTCTCTTAGTACAATCTGATGGAAAGGGTTTGAACTCTCAACCCCCACATCCGTAGTTCGCTCCTCGTATTCTATGTACTAAGACGTTTCAGGGAGTCCAAAAGGGTATATCATGTTCACATGATAGAAGTGAGATCAGCTGCTTCTTTCAGACGGCATGAAACTGTAGAACCTCATACGTTTTCCAATGAGGATCAACAGCTTGAATCTTCAGCCTGCAACGGTTGTGGTTTACAATTCCACAACAATATGAGTGTCCAGAAATCACTTCACACTATATTTTGTACACATTCTCGCCAGTAACTCAAGGAAGAAAAGCTTTTGGCCATTCTAACAGATTATAATCACCGGTAGAAAAACAAAACATCAGAATGTCAGGAAGTGAGCTATAAAATCCTCAAACAGCACAATCACTCACTGGCTTTTTCAATTTTGTGTTACTAGCTGTGCATGCAAGCTTCAAGCACTTTGTTTAACCCTCTCTCGGATCCAGGAAAGTCATGGTTTTGTTCAGACAGCTAAATACAGCTGTCTGAACAAAGCCCAAGTTAAGTTCGAGGTGACTGACTTAATGTGTAGGAATCAACGGAACCAAGTGCAGTCATGATGCGCTTTACTGGCCTGGCCTGACGATGCAGAAGGTTATATCTGTTTGTGAGTATTGATTTTTATAGTATGATTTGTAGGAGCATTCACGTGGGAGGACTTGTCGTCTGGAATTAAGAATTCTTGAAGTGAAAATATACTACCTGAATGCTTCTACCTGAATGCTTCAGGTAGTAGCAATAGCTATTGGCTTCTCTTCAAGTGTTTTATGATTAAGTTAGTGACAGCTCGAATCACATCTCCTCTAGTTGATGGCCCAGTTCCTCGAGCTAGAAGGTGATCGGCCCCCAGTACCTTAACTGCCTTACGTTGGCTGTGAGTGCAGGAGCATACTTAAAAATTTCTTCTGCGTGGGTTTGAAATTTCTCTCTCCAACAATTCCAGGTACTTGGCAGTTACGATAGATGTGTATTAATTTTGTAGGAATTGTCATTATTCACCGTCCTTCTAATTGGTCTAGTTAAACTTCTATTATGTGACCAAAGAACTGCATATAAAGTCACAGGGTAGGACTGCAGACAGTGGCTGACAAAGGCCAAAATCTTTGACGGATTTTCAGCATGCCTGTCTTGAAAGCTCTGGGGTCTAGTTACCTCTGAACTGTGCTTGCAGCAACAGTTATGGTACTAAATCATAAAAAGGACACAGATTCTGGATGCTCTTCCAACATGGATTCACCATTGGCAATGTGCTTGAGTAAATCCACAAGTAAATCATCCCCACAAGCATAGCTGTATAGCCTATATCGTGTCTGCAGTCGCCTACATGAAGTGGAAAGAAAATACCAATGTATGATAGCCCCTGGATTTACAGGACCAGGCATACATTCTAACTTTTGGATGAAAGCAGCGTGTTGTCTTGGATAGTCGGATGTATTGGCTAGAAGTTTTCTGAGGCTAATTCGGGAAACAAAACAGTTCGCAGTAGAGAAAACCTGGAAAATTGTCATTTTCCAGGTCTTTCTCAGCCGATTGATCACCTCAAATCGAGTCCCGCCTCCATGTGAATGTAAGAGAAGACCGATCGGCATGATCATTCATGGTTCATGCCTTTTAGTCAGATAGCTTCGTCTAATCAAATGTTCAAATCTACTGCACATTCTATCACAGCCTGTCGCGCTTCGTATTCTTTTGGAAGTTCCCCTGGGTGTCCACAATGGAGCCATGGTGGTGAACTTCAACAACAACGAGCAGACCGAAAACTCTCAGACCGTACTCTTAGGCTTGACTTCAGGTACGAGTTACGGCGGCCAAGGTGTAACTATGCAGCGATCTATTTGTCGCGAGACATAGTGGGATCGTGAATTGCGAAGTATATTAGAACCTTGTCTGACATGCGGTCTCCACCATACGGACCGCTCTCCCCAAATCGAGCCATTCCAGTTGCAGTGTCTCATGCCCGACATGTACAGTATCTATTTACATGCCGAATCTGGCACAGATGGTGTGGACAGAATCGCTGATGACATAGTCTATTTTGACGTAGAAGTGTAAGGTGTTATTAAATCCAAACATTCTCGCAAGTACTGTACGTCTCACAGTGAAACTACCTTCTTTGAATTTGAAATTCAGTGATGCCAAGATTAAGGTCTATGTGGCACTTGATGAGCGGCGAACGCCATGGATTACGACCTGTTTGATTCGAAGCGGGTGCTTTCACTGTGTACGTTACAGCACTAGCTTCTTCTGATTGCATTAGCATCTTTCACTTCGTAAACACTTGTATTGGAACACAACGACGCCTTGAGATTCGGTTTGTTTGTAAATTTTTACTTGATAACCGTAACTTTAGGTTGACTTTAGGGCCTCGAAGTCACCATGTGACCACCAGATTCAGAGCACTTCACATCCAACATTTAGAGTGGACTGAGTTGACAACTAAATTTGAGTCACTCAGTAGTTCAGAATCATCAATCTCATTGTTATTTATTCATGCTGTGAAGTTTGTGATCGGTGAGGCGGCTCCAAGCAGAGTTCTATTTGTGGTCATTAAGGGAGATTAATTTGTAGCCAAGTGTGTCATCGAATATTCCTGCCAATTTCTCTCCACGTCTGAACTTGTTCAAATGATTTTCATATTGCCGTATAGATGCCTTACAATGGTGGGATGCAGGATAGTTCAGTTATTGCTTATATTATTATTACAAATACTGCACTTCACCTGATTCGAGCGAAAATATCTGAACAGGTGAGAAGGCTCTCTTAACTTGCCCCGCATATCTTACTCATTGTTTGTGGCGCAAAAGAAAACAGCAAATTTCTTGACCGTCTTAGAGCAGACCTATGCCCGTGCTCTGCAGTGCATCCAGCAGATTGGGTTCAAATTGTTTTGTGAAGGAAATTCTATTCTATTGTTTCATGTTCCAGCTGCTTCCACATGTAAATGAGATGAACTGGATAGAAACTCATGAACGTCATTTTTTGTTTCAAAGGTCTAGAACCCTCTCTTACTCATCTTAACAAAGGACTACCTAAGTGAACACATTCCACGCTTTTCATATATTTTTGTTCTAGTCAATACGGAGGAATGTCACTTCAGATGATGGTAGTCTGTGGTAGAAATTCTTGAGCAATCTTAATCTCGTGCGGAATTGGTCTGCCATGGCTATCGTGTTAATGCTCGCTGTAACACTACCTTTTCTTTGCAGGTAGACATATACTTATCAGGTCTCTGCTATGATTCAACCCTCTCGACCATTCTGTCTGGATATGAGTGTGACCGGACATCATATCATGGTCATGATACGGTGAGAGGAAAAGGTAAGAGGCCAGCAAACGATTAGCTCCTTGACACAGAATGACTCTTCTGTTTGCTCTTGATTGTCGTGAGCTGTGATCAAATGGCTTGCATGTGGAATCAGCATTCAAAGTTGTACTTTGGATTGCAGTATTTTTTTCATTTCAGAATGTAGAGCGATTTTTTCTACTCGTACAGGAGATTGTAGGATTGAGATGAGATTCAGGTTGATTCATGTAGATTGAGATTCAGGCAAACTAAACAGGACTGGAGTGTGGTCGGTGCAGCAGAGATTGTCGAGACTGCCAGAAGTAAGCAGCGATGGTCAAGATAGAATATAACTGGATCTTGGGAAAATGCCTTATTTTCACCCGCATGGTCTCGGGAATAAGTGTACTGATTGCCTAACATGCATGCCGAGGTTAAACCAATCAACATTTTTCAGATCGTTTGCTGGAGACGTGATTAGATTTGACATCGAGATGAGAAGAAAATGTGCTATTTCCTCACAAATTGTTATTATTTTCACACATTCTCTAAACATCAACACAAATCTTGATTTTACAATTTGCATGACAATAACAACATTTTGTGTGGAAATAGCACTTTGTATAATTTATCATCTTACTGTTTTTATTTGACCATGTAATAAAAGAGTGTAAACCCCTAATAAATCATGTGTATCATTTTGGTGAATGAAATTTAAAGTCATAAACTAAACTCTACTAAACATCTCTTAAACTTACATGGGAGTATGTTGCATTCTTAGGTCTGATCATTTATTTTTCCCCGATAATATCTTTACCTAGATCTCAAGCAGTTGTATGCAAAATATTGAAGCTTTTTTTTTTGGGTCGGGGTTCTCCGTATGATGATATACAACAAGGAAGACTTAAAAGTGAGAATATTTTTGTTTTCTTGCCATCCATGATCTGTTCATCTCATAAATCGACATTTCGTATTATTAATAGGTCAAAGCAGAAGTGTAATCGAAAGGGAGAAGCAATTCAGTTGAATGGAACAGTAAGAAAAACACACAATTTAGGCTGTGTGCCATATGTTTACGAAATTATAGACAAGGTAACCATACATTCAATGTCTATATTTTGTACAACTGCTTACACCTGATAAAGCAAGAAAGGAAGCAAGGTAGGCGGATGAAACTGATTTGGATCACTAACTTTATTTTGCGGCCATATAACTTATGTGTAAAAATGTCAGGTTGACCCCTTCATCTCAGTTGGAACAAATCTTCTCTCTTGTTTTCATCAATCTCCCATAACTTCGTTCTCATCATCATGAATGGACCTGGGTATTCCGCATGCGTAATAAAATTTTAAAACTTTAATAAAATTAATGAGAAAGTCATAAATATTGTAGATTGAGAGATGGGACTAGTTTATAAGCTTATATTACAAAGCTTTCCGACACTGTTCTACACTAAGGTATTGAAAATTGTAACTCATGCTACTTCAAATGACATGGACTTTATAGTAAAGTTCCAAAAATTTCGATTCCAAAATCTTTTCTCCTTGTGATGTATGATTCATAATTCTTTCCATGTAATGTATGATTTAAGTCAGTAACGGCCCCAACCGGGGAGGGCTCTTGAGAACGACATCTAACAATGAAAACTAAAAATGATCTCATTATTAATCCTATTTGAAATTCGGTTTCGTTCGATGTTTGAAGTGAAACTTAATTTTCGGTTCGACAGTTTTACATGAGAAAGAAAATTTTTGATTCGAAGTTGAGTATCGTAAACTATGTGGAATTTTTTAATGGAAATGTATTTTATATATATATATATATAGTAGATCTAATACATCAAACATTCATTAAGTTCAGTAATTTTGATATATATTGTACTTAAATTTTTTATTAAAATCAAAAGATGTAATCTTTCAACTTACATAAATCTCTACATACTTTCAAAAAGATAAACATCACTTCGGCCAAATCAGAACAAGTTATTCAAATTTGAAAATCTATGTTCAAAAAATTCATTAGAAGTAAAACTTGAGATTTCACGGTTATATATTTTTGGAATGTTATACATAGTTGATAGATAATATTCAATCCATTCTTCTAACTCTATAAATTTTTAATAATTCAAAAAATAGTTTTTTTATGTAACGATTTATGAAATTTGCTTCTTCTTAAAGATTGATGGGTTAGATTCTTAATACCTATGCAATTTGGGTTAGATACTACTTTAAAAAATTTCCTCAGCTAGTTTGATAGTCTATATCTACGAAGGGTATATTCTTGAGTATTGTTTCAGCTATTGTTAAAACATAGTTTATTTAACTTGAGAAAATGGTTCAAAAAAATGACTTAAAAAATTTCCATAGTCATTTTCTTTCAAAGAAAACGTTGATCTGGTGTACATGCAGTCTATTCATGGTTGATGATGCTTGAAACTCTACAGCAACTATTCATCCATGACTTTCAAACAACCAATTTTAAAAGTGAAAATGATTGGAGTCCCAATCAGATTCATCCCGATCCCTATAAATACAATACGCGATCCCTTTGACAATCAACAATCATATTACTATTATATTCTAATTGGTGGGATATTACAATGTACTATCGCACGAACCTTCTGCACTATTACCGAGACATTCTCTCATCACAGTTCCACCGAAACAGGAGAATAGCTTGCACGCAACAAGCTGCTTGTTCCAATTCAAAAAAAATAGAGAAAACATCCTCATGGACATCACTATTGAGCCCGGCTCTTGCTGGAAAGACTGACATAGCTTCATAGCTCATAACTTATACATAGCTCATAACTATTGGTATTCAATTCTGTATGCCTAAACCATGAATGTTCTATCCTTATGAGTCAGAAGGATAGCAATCGCAGAAAATGATCTGCTAGTGCAATGTGAACACACGTGGGACATCTATCGAAGGCAGAACTTTAATCAGGACTGTGTGCGAGTCGACTATGCATCGGCGCACAACAGGATGGAACAAACATTGAGTGAAGGGGTGAATTAGAGGACTCAAAATGACATCTGAGAACTACCAACTACATTGTTGTGGCTTTAATCTCTTCATAAAAATAACACGGTATCGAGCGCAACAGCCAGCTCCTGAGCTCCACGCATATGCGCAGAGGACAAAACCTGGGGTATAATCCGTTCGAACGCCTTTCAAACGATGAAATTAATTCCAAAACTTTGGAAGTATCAGATTTGCCTCGTACTTCACAACCGGAAATACTGGGTCAAGAGCAACAATCGTGGGTCTGAGGTAACCCATCGCTCCTCTGAAGGAAGCCGTGCCAGAGCTGACTCCCAACTCCCAAGATAGGGTGGAGAAGTTGAACCTGCCGGACGCTGAGATGGTTCCCGAGTAGCCGGAGATTGTGATATCCTGCACTAAGATAATGAGCTTCTCTGCTGGATCATTGAGCGACACCAATTGGCCCGAGCTGTGCCCGACTTGAGCTGAAGCATTGGAAGCTGTCTTCCTGAGAACGCTATCGAAGACGCTGATATCGCCGAGGGCAGATGGGCCAGTGAGACTTGCGTTGGCGCCGGCGACTACTACAGTAGTAACTCCTGGCGGCACTAAGGTGTCGTGAACGTAGTACGTGAAATGCACCGCCTTCATCTCCATGGCGCTCGCAGGCCTCCAGCATCCCGACGAAAGGAGACACAGTGCACTGAGAAACGCGATCAATTTCCATGTCCGATGAGTTCTCTCCATGCTGCTGTCGTGAGTCCGGGGCTCGAGAAGTAACTAGATTTAGAAGAAGACTGTGACCTCCTCCTTCAGCTCAAGAGATTGGTTCTAGGACCCAATGAATAGATGGCCTTCTTCCAAGCGAATACGGCAGCCCCGAGCGCTAAAGTTGTGTTCAAAGAGATTGAAATCAGCGTTCCATGCTCACAACCTCGACGAATGCTAGCTTATATATGGTCTTCCAAGTCAACAGTCGCGGATCCTTCCATGGAGCCATACAAGGGACCGAATATATCAAGAAAGAAGAAAATCTCATCCAGTGAAGAGAGAAGACTTGGTCTCGACGCATATGAATAATCTCCTCATCCGTACTCAACGTGATTTCGGAGTGAACTGCATGTGGGCATCCATGTCCATGGCTCTGAGTGTCATTGCAGGCGATGGATGGCCGGTCCGAAGGAAGTCGCATAACAGCGAACTGGGCCAATGAGACCGAATCTCTTCCGCAGACCCCAGAAACGTGGGCAATGCTGCGCTGCCTATTTGACACGTGCTGTCCTGGAGAAATGCAATCGGAACGACCCAGACGCAGATTTGGATACTTTATCTGGGAGAGTGAAAGAGCGCAACACGACGTGAGGGAAAAAGGGCAATGCAGCCTGTGAAGCTCTTTGGTCGAGCATGATATTATGACAAGAGTCGAAGAAGAAAAAACTCCGTGCCATCAGCCGCGGTAAGTCCTGGAGGTACTGTGGTAGCTTCCAGTAAGTCGGTTCTGGCAGCTGTCAACTTCGCTCAGCTGCGGAGTCTCAGGTTGTGACAGTTCGTGCTCTACGATATTCCTTCCTGCCTCTGAAGTCTCAGTTCGTGAACTATAAATTTCGATCGTCTTCGTCCGACGGTGCGCCGTAAGCAGCTGCTCACTGTGCTGGTTCTTCTCTGCACACATTTAAGTCTCGGCTCCCGAGGCATGCAGGCAGTGGGTGCCCAGCGGACTTGGGGGCCTAAACGGGAATGCTTGCCTTACAATTCTCCGTTCCTTGCTAGTCCAGAACATCGACTGGCACTTGTAATTGGGAATTTTTCCCTTCCTCGAATTCCGGCCCACCAGATGACAACAACGCGATGAAAGAGATGGCAAGACCGTGAAATTCCAGTAGGATATCAAGTGGGATATCAAGTTCGACATCCCACTTCGAAAATAACTCAGACCGACCACGTTGTTTTAGATCTCCTTCTGGCCACGGTAGCTGAGCTATGGTTGTAGATGAGATTGTTCAGGTGACTTCGACCAGTCAAATTGTTAATAATTGTCGAGTAAGAATCGGGTCTTTGTATTTAAGAAAGAAGGGGCGACCATCAGCACATTAGTCAGTCTAACAGATATTATACTTTCAACACGAACACGACGAGCAGTTTTTGATTGTGCCTGACGAGGATGCTTCGGTTAAAAATTTATCAGGTGGTGATTATATGCAATAAGTGAAAGATCTTTCTACTGGATCCTAAGCTTTACAAAGCTCGTCGAGATCTTGCACATGAAAGACGATTGGATATTTATTTTAAAAATGTGGATAAGAATTAGAGCGCTATCAGGTCTACTCTGAACAATTGGATAGCTATTAGCCCTAGTAAATGTGTCTTTGATTCTTGAAATAAGATGAACACATTAGCTCGATTAAACTTGCTCATTTCATGACAAGATGTCAATGTGTGAGATCTAGAGATTCAACAATATCAAGAGTGTGTGACATCAAATATGCATACGGATTGATGTCTTGTTTGGCTCGTCTTTTGGAAAATATGACTATTTTTCTTGAGATTTTAGCAGATGAACTATCGTCAAATCTGTAACGCAAATTTTTTTGTGGAGCAAAGATAGTTTAATAAATTCTTTATAGTGCATTCTTGTTGCCCCAAGATCAGCATATAGCTGTCAATCTACATCCGAGATATGAATTGAGCTCTTATTTGCTTCCAACACCAACTGTAGATCCAACTCAATCACCAGCAAAGTCCGACGACATGTTGTGATGAACCATTCAACAACATCAATCAGAATCATCTTTTCTTGCCTTCTACTATCCACATAATGTCCTTGCTTTCCTTAGGTAGGGCAATAAGCATGACGAGAGCGTTTGAAGAAGATTGAAAGATAAACAGGAGACTGGCTGATATTGAGGGTTTGAAAAACATTTGGTCGAGCTCCACAACATCATAGTTATGTAGTTGGCAACTTCCAATATTATTAAAGTCAATTGGCTTTCTCTAGTAATAATATAGGTACAAACAACTACCCAAACATCCATCTATATTCATGTACCCCAATCTCCATCCATCATACTCTGGAATAAGTGATTCAATTCATCAACTTATCACATACAACTCTGAGTAGAGCACTAATGCTTTGTATCCCCTCATACTTTTCAACTTGTGATCTTTGTTTAAGCTTGTGTTTGAAAATATTAGTGGAAAATTTTAATATTTAGGAAGTAAGTCTAGATAGATCAAGCTTGGGAGGAAATTGACCCCTCGAATCAGGATTACAGACAAGTCAAAAGTAAGCTGAAAGCTACGACTTTGGGCAAGACATTGAGGCCAAAAATTTCCATCTACAACTGCAAAAGCACGCCGTGAATATTGTTATATTACATTTCTAACTTTAAATTTTGAAATAAAGGATGAATATGATGATCAAAATTGCGTTGTTTTAAACTCTCGAGCAAAGATTTCATTGCAAAGAATTATCAAACATGCTGTATGGCTTCTTGAAGCTAATGATCTTCAAGATGAAAGAATCTGGCACAAAGATTTAAAACTACATTGATGTTTTCTGTGATCTTATCATTCGTCTTTAGAATCTTGAAGAGAAAGTAAGTGATGAGAGAAATATCTTTTATCTTGTAAGTTCATAAATCGTATTTAATAAGTTACTGTCATCTTACTATTAGTTATTGTTTTACTTCATCGCAGTAGATGTAAAAACTTTTACAATGAAGTCAAGAATTATCCTTGTGCAAACATCAAAGCTTATGATACAATTTTAGTTAATATGGCACATAAATTTAATTTTGAAAAAAATAACTTTCTTGAAAATGAATTATGATGCTAAAATATGCCTCATCATAAGCTATAAAATTTGTCTACAAAATTCCAAAGTTAACAAAATATAAATTGTGCTGCGTTCGTAGATTAAATACATCGTCAACTTCTTTCATTTATAAACGTCTTTCATAAATAAATTCTTTAAAGCTATTATAATTTTGTTACAATCACGCAATATACAAAAAATGTGCGTTGGAGCGTGAATGCAATCGTCAATATGCAAGAAATGTATGTTGGAGCGTGAAGACAATTTGGAGTCAAAGATTTCAAAATTTTGATTTCAAAAATTTCAAAACTTTCTAAAGAATTGGTTTTAAAGTGTCTTGTTGTTGGTTGCATCACGTTCTAAGGAAAAAATTAGCATTTTTGGTTTCAGGTGTCATGTCGTGAAGTGCATCTAGCTCTACATTTAACAGACAAGAAAACTACCCATGAAATTCTTTGAATGTGACGTACTCCTTATCATATTGATATTGTGATCAACGCAAGTATCAAAAGTCTACAAGCTAGAAAATATTATAAAATAGTGCATGTTTTTTCCGTTCATCTTTGACAACAATCCAATCTTTTAATTGAAAGTGTCAACAAATGTTCAAAGGATACAAATTGTCGGGCGCATTTTGAGAACATGATCATCTACATCATTGATAAGCGTCATCATTTGCTTGTTCATATCAAAGAAGAAGTAGACTATTTATAATCCATTGTAGTTGTAGACTGGATCATCACATATTATTCTCCCATTTTCATCATGCATTAGCATATTGATCATTCTCATTGATTATCTTTAGAAACATGATCTTTTTTGCAACAATAAATTGATATAAAAAAGTTGGTAATCAATTTGTGAACTATGCTGGAAATTTAGAAAAAAAAACTAATGTTGACTACAATGAGTATTATCACCATACAATAAGTAATTCAATGAGTTTTACTAGTGTGAAAGAAGATGAATTAAAGTTGTAATTGTCCACATTCATGTTCAGATATTTTGTATTCAAGATTCTTTTCAGAGATTGCTTTTACTTTGAAGTACGTATGTAATATAGTAGATTGTTGATTATGACTTTCAGTTAATCAAAGGCATTACCAATGTTCAAGCAGAAAGAGACATTTGAAATGAGGCTTGAATAAATCTGTCGTCTTAAAGCATGTCTTGTAAATTACTTAAGATGCACATAAAAAAATTTATAAATAAATCTCTTGATCTATACCGCAGTCTTATTAAACAATTTTGGAGCAAAAAATACGTTGATATGATTGGAAAACTTCACAAAAATCTTATCCACGCTTACAAGTTCATGCAAGGAGTAAACCTCTATTATGTAGGCATGATACAATTTGGATGATCAGTTTGATTGTCTACTCGGATTTTGAAAAGTTTTAGCAATTGCATTTGTTAACACTACTACTTTTGAATTTGATTTTACATACTGAAATGAAAATTGTATTATTCATTGCACGGCGTTGACAAATATAACAATGGAAGATATCTTTCAGAATAATCAGCTTAAGCAATTGAGCTCAATCCATATGTGTTTGTGGCTATTTTCTTAGTAAATTCCAAGAAAAAAAAAATCAAGACAATGAATGTCTACAATTTAAATTCTATATTATTATTTTAGAAATTTTCAGGCTTTGTGGTATCTGTGATAGAGGTTTTTTTTTGCAACTCATAAATTTTTTTTGATGATATATGATTTATAACTAGTGTTTGTTCTTATTGGATTTGTAACATTGAAATTATTTTTTTTGGTTGGTATTAAAAATAATTTTCAAAACCAGATAGATGGCTAAATTTTTCACAGAGAAAGATGTGGACTAAAATATCTTATAAGTTGATTAGTATGTAAATTTGTTGTAATATTTTGTTTGTTTATGGATAGGATAAATGTAATTTGAACAAATTTTCACTCATGTTTTAATAAATTTATTTTTTAAGTGTTTAAAGTAAGAAATTTACATGAAACAATCAATCTCTTCCGGAAAAAAAGAGAAAAAAAACTGATTTGTAAATTTTTGATATTATTATATGGATTGAAACAATTTATTATGCAGTGATATGTAGTTTGATAAATAAAAGCACAAAGTATTTATGATTCATACTTATATAACAAGAAAATGAATCATGATATTTTTAATCTTATTATTATCGTATGCAAGTAATAACTAAAATCTACATGTAAGAATGAAAACTTTGGATTAGTTCAAGAAATATTGAAGATGAATGCTCATAGCAACTTTTGATGTTAAAAAAAAATGACTATGTCAATACAATTACATTTAATGTGTGATTGAGAGGTTAAAACATGGTAGATTCCAAAGAATTATGGACTATTTTTGTAAACCTGAAATGTGAAAATCATTCAAGC